ATATGCTACCATGACGAAAGAATACAGAGTATACATAACTCGCAATTCTATATATTCAGCAAACAGCCCAAAACCGAAACTCCACAACATATCCGATTACACTGATTAAGGCTGCCCCAGTTCTCCATGCGATACTGACGCCCGTTCGTCTCCCAGACCATACAGAATAAATTTAAAAGGAAAGTAAGCATTAATAAAAAAATATTGTTCTTGTCTGCTTCAGATTATATTTTGTAGATACTTATTTTAACTAGGAAAATTGTACTGACACCGGCGCTGTCCCTATTGAAGCTATTTATAAGAATTTCGAATTGCCGTCCATTGTTCGATGTCAATACATCGATGACAAGTGAGGATATCATAAAGTAATCGTTGATGCCGCGCTACACTTTGATAAAAATTATAATCAAGTTGACTGGTGTGTACATTACTACAGTGAACATGTACATGATCATGCCCTAATAATCAAATGCCGTAATGTCAAATACTAATTTATTATTGTGTGATGAATTTAACTGGATCAGTTGTAACATGTGATATTAATATTCCATCAATTTCTTTCCTGGTTGGTCCATCCATGTCTACAAAATGAAAACAATACAAGAGCATAGAACAATTCTTAATTTCAGGCTAGGGCTGTGGAAATCTAGACTTTCCCAATCATTATAGACTTGAGTTGGTCTCATGTTTTACTTTATTCTCTTGGGTCAACGTCACAGCTCATACCATACACTAACAAGACCAGTTTGACCCCCGCCGGAGCTCCCGGATTTTGGTTATATCATCTAACATGGCCAACTCTGCTCTTAAGTAAACAAGAACCTAATCAGCGAGGGGTCCTTTATCATCCCTATGTGGCTGCTTATAAAAATCTGATATCTTTTCCCAAAGGCCTGGTTAATAATATATTTTCTGCTGAATATTCGAAACAAATAGAGTGAGTTGGTACTACATGTACATATGTAAACGGTTCTATTTTAAATGACTGCAGCGCTCCATTATGAAAACAATTTGTTTTAATGCCGCTCTCAGCAGTATTCCAGTGAAATATATGCAAATTGAATCTTGAATCTTGAAATTTCCGCAAATAAGTATCACATGCAGTATACAGTATATCAACTGCAATATACTGTATACAACATTCAGTATGTCGTGTGTCGCGAGCTCTGCGCTGGGCTGGAGCACACACTTCCTACACCTCTCCCTTCGGCAAACACATCACGAGGGTTGCAACGAGGTCACAGGTCAGGCGTGCACTCGTCAGTTGTCTAATACGGTCAAGAGTAAGATCTTCCGGAAGACCACTGCACTGGAGGTATGTGGATTATTGAGGAGGTACTACGTGTTTGGAACTGGGAGTTGAACACTAAGCACTTTTAGAGAAGAGCTCACAATAAAACGTTATGGACTCGCGGACGGACTTGTGTTTTCATTTCAAGACGTACATTTATCAGGTTGAACTTCCTAACTGTAACAATAACTGAACTTTACGCCTTTTATACACATTTGGGATGGGGCGACAATGCGACAACGAGACATATTTTGACCTTGAAAATGTCGCGTTACGGCATCGTCGCCCTTTTGTAAAATAAAGAAAAGGATTATCAAAGAGCGACAATGCGAACACGCGACAATGCGACAAATGGCCAATTGTCGCGCTTTTGTTAATTTTGACACGTTTTGCTTGTTTTTGTAAAGGCGTCAATGCGACAATGCGACAACGAGACAATGTCCCTTCCATAGTAATCCGTTCAAATAAAACTGAGTTATGAAATAGAAGTCTGACATGCCAGTTAAAAGATAGAGTGTTGCATAGATCTTCAATCAAGGGTTATCAATAATGGGGCGGGTGATGAGTTCAACTGCATACGCTGTGATTAACAATAAAGCTCCGAGTCAATACACATTTTGTCAAATGTATGACATGTATTACGTGAATGAAGATATTGTTTATACTCGTCCATGTTTTTGACGGACAAAATAATTTACATGCTCGGTAAAAGTGAGGACGGGCATCATTGTGTGTTTCCGTGCTTTGTTCAGGTGAACATTTGACTTGTCCTTGCATGTGTTTGTGACGGGTGCCACTTGTGTGGCAGGATACGCTCACCTTTTCCCGAACACCCATTGGATTACCTGAACCACTTCGGATTTTTATCCCACATCAGTCTGATACACCATGATATAACTGAAATACTGAAATACTGTACAGTTAAAAAAGATGTTTAATGCGATTACCGTAGTGTGTTACTGCAACTGTTCATATTTTGTGCAGTGATGTTATGTAATATGTAAAAGAAAGCATATTCAATTATCCAATTGATTTGAATAGAATATACTTGCGTCAGTGTATTTTATTAACGCCCCAAATCGTAATTTAAACACATAAAATAACAGATCACGCATGGTGCCTTGACTTACTACTAGATTTAATGGGCCACCCCGGAATAAAATAGTTCCCCCAAAGCGAGGAACATATGTTTTAGTATATTTACAAGAAATATATTCCAAACAATATCCTCATTAGATGAGAAGATCTTTTACAGAATTACCTCAGTAAGTCAATTACAATGACTAAGCGTTGTAATACATTTACATCAAGTACAATACGTCAAAATGGCCGACACGATAAACGTGTCGGGAGATATTTCCGAAGTTGTTAATTAACCTGTGGCTATTTCAAGCCTTTGGCATCACTGATCAATTGGCCGATCACTGAAAGGTGATTGTGAAGATGTGTCAAATAGATACTAAGGTAAATTCATAGATTTCTGTAAATTGTCACTGCGACAGTTTGGATTTTTTTTTCGTGTTTTTTTCTCTCTGGGATGGTTTGTAGCGAGGGTATCCTTAAATGGGCTTGCAACCACGCTTCTGTATGAATTCGTACCAGGAAATTCCAAGGGTTTTCCCCAGGAATGTGGAAGTAGTCAGTGTTTGCGCCTTTTCAAGAATACAGTCACGTGAAGAACGTCATGTGACCGACCTCGCGTCCAAGTCGTATATCTTGTAAACTTCAAATTAAAAAATTAGTTATTGTTATAACCAAATGAAACACAACCCATTATCCGATAGGGTAACTGTACATAGCCGTTACCACAATAAACTTAGTAACATTGTTTGGTTTGACTTCTTGGCGCGTGTCTGAATTCCATTAACATGTTACATATCCTAAAACTAGCTTATCAGCAAATCTCGCTGCACTGCGCGCGACAGATACTAGAGCAAGGCATGCCAGAAATACGAAACCTAAAGCTTCCGAAAGGAAGCCTTGGATATCACGTGCGTCGGGGGACCAGCGCCATCTGATTGGCCGTTAACAGTTGTACAAGGCGGAGCAAAAAGCATCGTTTTTCCGTCCATTTTACGCTTGAAAAACTCGACCCTTTTCTGGACACTTTCTAGACGCTGACCAATTAATCAATTTTAATGAATTTTTAGTCGTTTTTCCGTCCAATGACCATATACGGAAAAAAACGACGTTTTCGTGTTTGCAGTGTTAGTACATGGATGAACAGAGTGATTAGACACATAATATTATATTAGTACATGGACGAACAGAGTGATTGGACATATAATATTATAATAGTACATGAGCATTCGGTATGATTAGACATATATTTATGTATTTAAGATGTAGGTACAGAGTGATCAGAAATATTTTTGGCTTTGCTGGGATGTTAGTGAAAAACATAAATTGCCCCAGATAATTCTTGATAAAAGCAATTATGCAGATTGTTGAAAAAAACATTTGTCTGCCAAAAACATTACATTGTTGCAATGTATTTTTCTTAAAAACATATTCAGGCTGGAGGATGTCAGTCATAATACGTGCTAGACGTTCGAATTCATTAGTACGCCACCAAACACGTCCACGCTTATACAGAGAGTCCAGAAGTAATTTTGAACTTCTCCGAAAACATTAAACGAGACCTTCGGCATTGTCTTACGTTCTAAACACTATTGGCGTATGGCTAGAATGTGTTCACTTTTATTAACGGTGGAACAACACATGGTAGCAGAGCATGAAGATTGGCTACATGCTGACGAGTAAAAAAAGATTTGATGGGCTGATTTCTTGAAGCCTGGATTCTGATTAATCGATCCTGAAAGTTGACTGTGTGACCTTGGGCACCGTGTGCGGGGCCAATCATTAACATTTTGTGTCTGCAGAAATCTGCAATGTGCAGACTGAGACACATTGAACATACTGGCTACCTCTTTCAATAGCCTCTGCAAACAGCCCTTAGACGTTCATCACATTGTTGACGACACATGCCCCATCTTATCACAAATACTGCATTACAGCAAGAGTGGAGAGCTCACATGTTACTGTGGATAAAACATGACGCCCAAACCCACATGGAATTTCATGTTCCATGTGCAATGTTTCGGGGGTGTTGGAGCGTTAGGTCTTGGTTCTGAAACCGTTCCATCTCTGGCAGTCATATTTCAAAGCTGAACTTTGTTCTGGCGACTGATCATTATCATATATATTTTAATGACCCTCAACTTGTTTTGGTGAGTATATGTTGCCAACATCATTTATCCGGGAAGGGGCATTTCTGGATTAGTGGGGTCCGGATTAACAAGTTTCACTTAATGCAGGAAGTGTTAAGCTCTGTTGGCAACAAGTCACACCATGCCATTGATTCCAGGATTACTCGATTGCCGATAAATTAAACTGCCGGGTGAAAGAAAAGCATTCACTTGAAAATTGGATTTTCATATTTTAGCCACCATCAAACATGGGTGTATACTTTCTTTTGCGGTCTGTGTTTACTTGTTTATCAGATGCATAAGATAAATAATAAAAATGTTGAGTTACTGGAATATCGTCTTCATTATTTTATATGGGCCGCCTTACTCTGAAAATGTCCACAGGCTAATCGTATATCTGCTTCAGTGTATGATCGCAAACACCATTGTATCTAGAGATAGTGAGATGCAGGCGGAGTTTGTTTGTTCTTAGCAGGGGGACTCGCAGTGATCAGACCAATATAGGCAAGATGCATGTACATGATATGTGAATATATACAACATGTCGAGTTCGGAGAAGCCAGCATCGAAAGATGAGAAATCCCCTGTAGCATTCTCATGTAGGTATAACATGCGCATTGTTATGACAACCGCAATGGTATCGTTTCGCTTTCAGATGAAATGTTTAATAATGTATATTGAAAGTATGGGGTTCAAGATTATTGCACTTATAGAGTCTATGTATGTATGTATGTACATACATACATACATAGACTCTATAAGTGCAATAATCTTGAACTCCATACTGTAAACATAACGCTGTATCCTTTGGTGACATTAAATATATTAACAATATATTGGCTAAAAAACTCAAATTGTTTCCCGAATTTAGTGCAAGTATGTTTATATTAAAAGTGCACGCCACACCCCATTTAAAGAGTTCACCCTCTTTTCCTCAAAAAATTGAATACGCGTTTGTATTCCTTTGTAGTATCTTGCTTGTGTTCACAACGATGGCTGCTGGCCTACGTTGGCTGGCTCGGATGTATCATGCTATACGCCGCCCGTGCCAACCTCAGCGTCGCCATCGTGTGCATGGTCAACGACACCGACACCAATTCCACGTCGTCGATATCGGAGGTACAGTTTCCAACCACCTCATTACCATCGCAATGTTATGTATCTTCAAATGTCAATAGTGGCTGATCATGTATCTTCGAATTCGTATACTGCTAAGACGTGGCTCGATGTTCATACTATCAGCCTCCGGTTTCATTATCCTGGATTGGCAGGCTTTGAGAAACCTTGAAATCGCTTGGTCGTGATATATTTCAGACCTTTTCAGACTGGGCCATCCGTGTGCCCGCTTGCTTACTGACTAGCTCTCATTGAGTAAAAAACAGAAGTTATCGTTCTTGAAGTGTACCAATCCTTCAAACAATCTACTTACGCTCTTAAACTAAGTCTATCTTAAAAAGATATCCGAAAAGGTACATATTTAGCACCCATTCCAAGTGCTGCTTAATCCCCCAAACGAGACTGACATCATCTTGCTATTTGTTTTAGCATGAATGGGCTTTTCTACACATAAGTCATATGCTGATAGTTGTAGCAATGGTGTCGTGTGTAGAATGCGAGTTCCACTGTGACGTAATTAAATCACGTGTTACTTTATGTCTTTCAGTATATGTACTGCATCAATCTTATATATGTGAATCATACATGTTAACATGCCACATGCCATCTATTCAAATACTTGTACGTTATATTTCCAGCATGCCGAGTTCTACTGGTCCAAGGGAGAGCAGTCTGGAATCCTCAGCTCGTTTTTCTACGGCTACATATTGACACAGATTCCCGCGGGAATACTGGCGAGTAGATATGGCGGGAAGTACGTAATGTTTATCGGGATGCTGATTGGCTCGATCGTTTCACTGCTTCTACCAATCGGCGCCCGGACTTCCATCTACCTGGTGTATGTGCTGCGCGTGATTCTTGGAGTGTGCCAGGTAGAGATGATTGTCAAACTGAAAATTTACATGCCATATAGTTTGTAATTTGCATGTTTGTTTTCCATTATCGCAATTATTGCCGAGAATGACAAATTCACTGATGGAATGGTGCAGACGATATCCAAAACAATTATTTCAGTTATAATGAGGCTTGAACAACAAACCAGTCGAACAATTCCATCAGTGTTACTCTTAACCAGCACTGAAGCACATGACAAGATGCTTGTCCAATGAAAGATGTTTGTTTGATGACCTTCGGTATATTTCTCTTCAGAACGTGATACCGCATGTGGTGTCATCCAAAAGACAATATATAACTTTTGTTGACATTATGTTGTACTGTACTCTCCCCAAGGAGTCTTGTTTCCATCTCTACAATCCCTTTGGGGCAGATGGGCGCCGCCATTGGAGAGGACAAAACTCACTGCTGTCTGTTATTCAGGTAAATCAGATTTGAAGGTTTATATTTCTGATGAAATCTTTTTCACAGATTTTATGCGCATATCTATAGAACCATTATAGAAAGGACATTGTCGTGTTGTCGCCTTTACAAACCAAAGCCCAAACCAAAGAGCAACATCGTTCATCTGACCTGTCTTGCGAGGTTTACAAGTAAAAACTTTAATAATGGGTGAAATCAGAGGGCAGCAGCAACGAGTAACAGGTGCACGGCGGACAACTGCGGCTTGGTATCTCAGTGGGTGAGATCTCGTCACTTCCCGTGAGATTCCGTCAAGATCTTGTCGTGGGTGCACTTCTGGTTCCGGTGTATCCCTGCATGAACCAAGACCGGAAGTGCCGCCATCTTGGAAACATACCTCAAAGTGACTCTGTCCACAACTCATTCATGGATACAAGGACGGATAACTCAAGTACAAAACCACTTGCCGCCGCTCAAACACTGTATAAATCTGAACACAACAGCACATCTTTTTTACCAACAAGTCAATCATTTGCCTCTACTGACTGTTATTACAGACTTATTTACAAAATATTTCCACCGCCAATGAAATTACTTACATACACCACCTGTCAACGAATCGAAGTAAATGTTGTGATGATTTGTCAGTTCGGTTCACTTCCAGTGTATATGCATGAAAAGTCACTGAGAAATGATGTTTGTAAAAATAATTGCTTGAATAGGTTTATAATTGCCAATCTTGAAATCAAGCTTGTTTATGGACTGACTGGAATTTTTGCCACAGATAGAAGTGGAAGCCTTTTGGTCATTATTGTAATATTGTTATTAATTTGCTACATTCCAGGAACTCAGTTTGGTAGCATAGCAACGTTCGCTATATCGGGGTTCATGTGCATATATGGCTTCGATAATGGATGGGGTTCCATCTTCTATGTTACAGGTAATTAAGATATACACAATCCGATTCTTAAGTGGAAATATTCATTCACAATTCAACCGATTATTCCTCACACACAACTTGTTATAAGTGTGTTCCTCATATCCGTCCTTGTTATAACCTATAATCCATTTTGTTCGTGAAACATACATTGTACTGTAGATATGACCACAATAAATATTTAATGACAGTATTAATGAAGGTACCTACCAAAGAATAAGCTGATGCGCCGTGATATTACTGGAATATTGTTCAAAGCGTGGTAAAACCAAGCTCACTGACTGACTCACTCACTTATTTACACAGAAATGTGTCAGGCATCATAAATGTACTCCTAATTATGCCTACTAATATATATATTTTTGTTTTGGACATACAATCCGTATGTAGGGCCTTCACATTTGCCAAGAGGAAGCAAGGAAATTGTTCAATCTTTGCAATCAATAAATTTTATCTCCTCAGAACTAGTTTGATATCACCCACTTTGGAACAACATTGTTTATTTCCCGTCAACAGGTGGAATATCGTTGTTATGGTGCGGGCTGTGGTATATAACGGTCGCCAGCACACCGGCTCAGCACCCTCGTATTACGAAGAGAGAGAGGAATTATATTATCACAAGTATAGGGGAAAAACAACAGGTATCGTCCTTTTATATCTACATGATTTAAATGTGTTACATATTTTTTTAAAGACACAACTTAAATACTACTAAATGTGATTCATAACCTAATGGTCGAAGCCTTTCCTTATCACACGGAAGAATCGGGTTCATTCTCCAAATGGGTACAAGTTTTCAAGCCCTTTCTGTGTGTCACCAGCTGAGATATAGCAGTGGTTTCACCAGAAACGGCGTAAACATAACTCATTACGTTACTACACAAGATATCCATCAATCTAATGTGTTTGTTGTATTATTATACTTGTGTTTTTCATTTCCCCCCATAAGTTAGACTCACATTGAGTCACAGAAATAAGGTAATCGCATCATAAAAATATATATGTGACCTACCAGCAGAAAAAAGACATAATGGGTGCTAGGATACAATTGTGTTGTGACGTCATTAAGAAACACTTCCGTAAATATCGCGGAATGTACAAGCATATCTTATTTCTCTCTCGTTTCTTCGTAATGTAATACAAACATTATTTTAAAACATTTCAGCATACATATCTACGTTCGATAAATCTAACATTACATCTAAAATAACTGCAATTATTACATAAACAGTCTGAAGATTTTGCAGCAAAACGAGTCAAAATGTGTGATGCCATGTATCTCTGTAATAAATATACATTTTATTTTTGTGTTCCTAGGATACTGTAGTTTTAAAATATAATGAGAAGTCTAATTGTGACTGTTCACCCATAAGGTCCCTTATCTCAAGGTTTACATATGTCAACAAAATTCAAATGGAGCCAAGCACACTGCCTTGGGGTGAGGCAAAAAGGACCTGCTAAATCATCCCAGATTTAGATTATATTCCCTTGTTAATGCACGTCCGGATACACGTTTCACTGTGTCTTCTCTAACTGTATCCTTACTAAACATTCCCTTTGGGACTGGTCATTAATTCTACCTCCACGTACGGTTTACATTAATTTTATAAGTATTAACTATGAATTGAACCATTGTGATGACGTCAAGCGATTATTGTTGCAGCTGCTTCCGGGAGTTTTATGTTGATATATTATTCCTCTATAAGTTTGCAGAATACCTTATATTTGCGTCTCAGTTCTACTTGACTTTGAATCAATTGCAACAACAATAGCATGACGTCATCATCGTAACAAGTGCATTTCAAAACAAGTACAACTGAAGCAACTTTTGGTCATTATGCAAAATTATAGAGAAATCATTTTTCAACCATAATGATTTAATTTGAAAAAATCACACGGACCCGTTGATTCTGGAAGTAGAATCAACTCACCCATTCGGAGCTCGTTCATTTTTTCCCGGAATCAACAGATTGGAGCGATGTCTCTATAAGTAAACACATGACATATTAGCGTTGTTATCTAGACGTTCTCGACCCCATGGGCCGCCCTGCTGAAGTCACCGGCGCTGTGGGCGTGTCTAACTGCACACGTGTGTTGTAACTGGATTATATACACACTACTGACCAACATACCAACATTCCTTAAAGAAGTGCTGGATTTCGACATAGCCGAGGTGCGTATGTAAATAAATTCGACGAATGGGTATTTCGATACAGGTGGACAAGAAACAAATAATATTTTAAAAATGATTGTTTTGCTACAATAGGTATTAAATGTGAGATAAAGCTTCAACCTTAAGAAAACCTTATTTGTTGTTCCGAATTCCTACCGGCTGAGGGCGCTGGGGAAGCCTAGTGGTTAAAGTGTTCGCTTGTCACAGGAAGACCCGGGGTCGATTCTCCACTCGGATAGAAAGTTGACCCGATATTAAACGAAAAGGCTGAAACGAGATCTAACTGTCACACAGTCACTCACTTTTAATGTTAGTTTTGATACAAGAAAACATTGATGCAGAGCATCAAAGTTCTCCGCCATATGTGATGCCTCACAAACGCATAATTATGATGTTACTGAAAGGCATGAAGGAGCATAATTATATTAACCACAAATAACATAACGCTGTTGTGGAAAAATATATTATTTATTTTGAGTATTGGGCAATACAGTTCATACATGTGCATAGGATAGGTCTATTTAAAAGTAGTTTCTTGTTTAACGCCGCACTCAGCAGTATTCAAGCCATATGACGGCGTGAGTCTGGACCAGATAATCCAGTGATTGACACCAAGGGCATCGAACTACGCAATTGGAATATGATGTTATGCATCGACCAAATCGGCGAGCCTGACTACCCAATCCTGTTCGTCGCCTCTTACGGCAAGCATGGGTTTATTTAAAAAGTAGATCGAAGGAAATGGAAGTAATTTCTGGCACAATTGTAAACATGTTGAAATAGTATCAAAACTGCCAACAACATTCGCAGATGCACATACTCAGATAATAGATGATCACATTCTTTTTACACTTGGCATTTGGTTATAATAATGTAAATGAAAATAATAAGGGCTCCATATGGCAAAAAAGTCATACTAGATAAGGTCTTTTTGTCACAACCACAGATGCACATACTCAAAATATTATCACGTAGTTGGAGAACATTTCAATACCGGGACCAATCTACAACGGAGATTCCTCGTCTCTTGTTTTCGTTTTTTGGTCAGATTCTTTTTTTTGTATTTCTTTCTGTCAAAGAATAGTAATTGTGATCATAATGAGTTGAGTTACTTGGTCTTTTTCTATGTACTGTTTTTTTATCCAGTGTCAGTGACTGTTGTGGAATGTGGTTTACTTGTAACAATTACTAGTTTGAGTTTATATGATGATGATATTTGGAGCACCTGTGACCGGGCCATAAAACTGATTATGACCTAAATACCCCTCATAGCCTTCGGTGTTAACTATGTGACTGTAGAGAGCTGTGCCTTCATCCAACAGATTATCGAGGTCAGTATAACACAGTACAGACGCAAATAGATTTGAGCCATGGGACACAAAATATATGATAGCGACCAAATTCGCCGACACATTACTCCGATTTGGCTTTGACTTAGCTACCAAACGTTTCACATTTGGCTATGTGCGGTGCAATTATTAAAAAAAACACGGGGGACTGGGTTAATTCAAAATACGGAATATAAATATTCCAAATATTTCCAGTGAACATGAGTATTCAAATATTCAAAAGTGTGGTATGTAGAATGTGGAATTCAGCCATATTACTTTTAAATTGAGATGTCGTTTTTCATGAATAAGCATTCTCAGAACATATATCATATTATGACGTTATTTACGATCTCCGGAGTACAGTTCTTCTTTTGTATGCACCGTGAAAATCAGAAAATTAGTCCTTGAGGAAAAAAGGACATCGGATTACACATGAATGGTTTAATAATGTCAGCTAATGACCAGAAACGGTCAGATGCATCAATTAACTACAGAAAGACGATTTGTGAGTATTTCTTATTGCTTGAAAAGAATAGCATCAACATTGCACGCACATGATTTGTATGTTTTGTTTCCGTAAATGCGTGTCTTGAAATTTCAAATAAACCAACATGTCGACATACATGCTACAAAATTAACGTTTCCCGAAGAATAATCAGCGTTGCTGTGTGTGTGCAATGTATCCAACATGGATATTTTTTGTAAATGTATGTAAATCGTTTGATTTTCTATAATAAAATCATCATTGCTAGTTGTGTGTATTGTGTCCATCATGGACATGTTTAATGTTAATCGATTGATTTTTGTCAAAAGAACGGCTTGCTGTCGTCCATTCCCTACGTGAGCCAGGCCGTGTCTGGAATGTTGACAGGTCAGGTGGCCGACTACATCCGGTCAAGGAATTACCTCAGCACAACGGCCACGCGGAGGATCTTCCAGATCATCGGTCTGTAGATAACTTTACATCCTTGCAAGGTTCAACCAGATATACGGATCAACGCAAAATCTCAGTCAATCGCTGGACTTAATTCTTTAATAGTGCACAGGGTTGAGTTGAGGACACTATTAACATATAGAAAACGGACAAAGATTACACATATTTTAACACTTACATTGAGTACTGCAAATTTTATTTTGTGATTTATTTTAACATCGGGTCATGTGTTCTGTTCTTCCCCATTGCATTTAGTTTGATCAATGACTTTTTACAATAATATTATTCACATTAGACTACTACTTAGAATAGGTCCCCAGCAACCTATGCTAGTGGCAGGAGACGATAGATCGCGTTGTGAGGCTCGGTCGCTTTGTAGAATGTGTGTCATCGTGCTGGACGGCGTGGGTTTTATTCTGAATATGAGTAAAGTGAAGCCCCAAATTATTCTCGCCATGATTACTCTGAAATTTTGTTACAAATGACCTGTGTTTCACAGAGCTTGTGATTAGTTCACTATTCTCTGGTCAAGCACACTTAAGGTAGTGTGAGCGGGTGGGAAGCGAATTGTGGTCCAAATGAGATGTTGGCAAGATGATATGTGTGCAAAATGAAATGAAGGCAAAATAAGGTGTAGGCAAATGAGATGAAGGCCAAGTGAAATGTAATCAAAATGAGCGGAAGGCGAAATGTAATCTAATCTAAATGAGATGTAGGCAAAATGGGAGGAAACAGAGTGAAATGTAGGCAAAATGTCTGGAAGGCAAAATGGCAAAATCATCGGAAGGGATAGGGAAATGTAGGCAAAATGAGGGAAAGACAAAGAGAAATGTTGGCAAACTGATTGGAAGGCAAAGTGAAATGTAGACAAAATGGTCCGAAGACAAAGTGAAACAAAGGCAAAATGAGCGGAAGGCCAAGTGAATGCAGGCAAAATGGTCGGAAGACAAAGTGAAATGAAGGCAAAATGAGCGGAAGGCAAAGTGAAATGTGGCAATATCATCGGAAGGCAAAAGGAAATATTGGCAAAATGAGTGGAAGGCAAAGTGAAATGTTGGCAAAAATGCGATGTATACAAAGCGAGGTGTAGGGAATATGAGCTGCAGACAATGTTGGATGCATTATGGAACCTCTCCGTCATAGGTCTTTGGTCATTGTGGGTGACAGACTGAAGCTACCGGCTGTGTATGCAACACATGCTGCACCTCAACACAAGACTTGATAGTTGGTAGAGGCAGTACTGATCTGAATTGTGATGATAAGAGTGTCTCTGCCATGTACATCCTGCCTCACTTGTGTTTGGATATAGTTCTTGATATCTTTCAGCCAGGAATGTACAGCGACACCCCGTTTATCCGGATGGTAGCACTCCCAGTGAAATCGTCAGGGTCATAACATTTCCGGATAATCTAATCATTTACAAGGTGTAATGTCCATCGTGTATAGGAATACATAATGATTCTTACCAGTAATCGCCCAAGTAGTGGCTTTCCGTACTAGTGGGGTTGCAGGCACGTGTTTTTCTACCAAATCTATCATTTTATATCACAAATTAGGTTTTATTTCAGCCTTCGTGGGGGCAGGTGCGTGTCTGATCGGGACAGGGTTTGTGAGCGTGGAGCACCGCTACGTCGCTGTTGTTTTGTTGACGATAGCCATGTGGTTTGTTGGGATGGCATCTGCTGGCTACATTGTCAACACTGTCGACTTCGCTCCAAGGTAGGGTTTCTTTATCTTGTTAATTCAAGATGGGGAAATTAAGTTTTTAATGTGTTTCATCCTGTTTTCAAAAATGTGTCGGATGGTAATACAAAAGATGTTATCGTTAAGAAAATAGATCATGAGATGACGTCATGTTTTCAACTCTTTGGTAGGCCTTGTTTATCTGCGGTGGTGTCACTGAACACTGATGTAGATATGTCACTGATGTGTGTGAGTATACAGTGTATCGATATACAGTGTGCGGATAAATAGTGTCGTGATATGCAATGTGTGTATATGCAGTATACCAATATACAGGAAGTGGATATTCAGTGTACTGATACTGAATGTGCGAATATTCAGAATAACGATATTAAGTGTGCGGATATACAGTAGTTAACTTACCAACATAGACACAGTGTGTCAACCAAATTGTTGGTGTACCCTATCGGCATAGTAACGGAGTATGGCTCAAATAGGCGTAACCATGGTTACTCATTCCTCCATGGACAGCTGTGAAATTCCGTGATATATTCAAAAATATATATTTTTTCACTGAATGAAATGATGTCGTTTTATCACTTTTTGAGTATGTTTGTTATCTAACACCTTTCTGAGCAATATACACGTATATCAGAGCGTCATTTCCTCACATAGTTCATGTTTGTTTATATGGGTATCTGTGTCTCAATGTCGACATTCATGTTGCAGATACGCTGGTATACTGTTCGGTATTTGTAACGCTGCTGCGACGGTCCCGGGGATGGTGGCGCCTCTCCTAGCCGGTGCCCTCACCCCAAACGTAAGTAGAAGAGTTGTTATCGGTTAAGTTTTGTATGTTATGTTTAACGTTGTACTCGGCTATTACAGCTTTACGACGGCGGTCTGTAACCAAGGCAACGAAACTTACCACCCGATCCAGTAAGTCGTTTCGTACGACACAGGACCAATTCTACCACGGTGACGTCATCATTTCATATACGGGATTGTTTCTTATGATGTAATGTCACTTGTAACGATTTGTGGTGACTCAATAAATCTGCTAGTAGTCGGTTCCCGCATTCATACTTATTTGGATTTTCTTCAGCTGTTTAACCCCACACTCAAGCTACTTATGATCTAACGATCTACCCATGTCTGCGTCGTACTGTTTGGCTTACCTTTTACATTAAGATGACATTCCTCAATATGACTGAATACTGTTATACGGCGTTAACCCAACTCTTTAACGTGGACGAATGAATCGGTGCTCACACTATCGATCACTGTTTTGTCAGTTCCTGACTAAATGTTGCCAACCTTTAATAATAATAATAATAATAATAATAATAATAATAATAATAATAGTGGCCATTTGATATTCTGGGAGGGGTGTGTACCTGTGATGTTCTTTCAGTAACATCCCACCACCCCCACCACCCCCACCACCACTACCAAATGGTCGGCCCCCTACTATTCACTCAGTTAGCTGTCTGACTGGTGTAGCCTAGTTGGCAAAACGTTCACCCGAAGACCCGAGTTCGATTCCCATACAATGTCAAAAGCCCCTTTTCTGGTTCCATACACTGTTGAAATATTGCTTACCGCGGCGTTACACTATTATCACTCACACACATTTCTCTCCCAACAGAAAACTCAGGAAGAATGGCGGAACGTGTTTTACGTGTGTGCGGGATTCTGTGCCCTGGGAAGTTTGGTGTTCGGCACCCAGGCCCGGGGGGAGCTGCAGCCCTGGGCCGTGGACCAGGTGGAGGTAGACGTGGGGGAAGGGCAGGAGGTCCCCGACGTGTCAGACAGAGCTCTGGATACCAAGGACACTTTTGACAAGAAGGCAACTACAGATACGTCAACTCATCTGTAACAGTTTTCAGGCTAACAGAATACCACATACATCGGATACAGTGAACCTCCATTAGCCGTATCATTGATATAGAACATATGTTAACCAGACAATTTTACAGAGAATGAATTCCAATAGACGTTCTGTGCAAGTGGTCCCTGGAATTGAAACCACCACATAAAACGCCATGACATTCACTGATAGGTGTTATATTGTTAAGCAGAAAAGTATCTCTAAAGAACATGTGAAGTTAACATGTTGAAAATATGGGGCCCAAATAGGAAGAACGTGAATCCAAATGAAAGTAGTATCTTTCAATGTACCAAAGCACGACTTGGAGATTAATAAACACGAAGAATTATCTTCACCAAAAACATTCGTCATGCCGAAGACCCGGGTTCGATTCCCGACATGGGTACAATGTGTGAAGTCCATTTCTGGTGTCCCCCGCCGTGATATTGCTGGAATATTGCTAAAAAAAGGCGTAAATCCAAACTCACTCACTCACTCACTCACTCACTCACTAATAAACACGAAGTATTATCTTCTTTAAAAACAATTTTTTTCACATTTCTTACACAATTCTTTTCTTATGCATACACATACGCCCCCACATCGACCTCCAGACGTAGATAACTTAACGGCAGCTAAAGAATACAAATTATGATCAGACATATGTTGATGTATCAGTACATGGATGAACAGAGTGATTGGACATATTAGTACATGTACGTAGATAGTGATTAGATATACATTAAATTCGTACATGAATGTACAGAGGAACAAGAGATAATATTATATTAGGAAATGGGCGAACACAGTGATTAGACACATAATACTATATTAGTACATGGACAAACAGGGTGATTTGATACATAATATTATATTAGTACATGGACGAACAGTGATTAGACACATAATAGTATACTAGTAGATGTAGGTACAGAGTGATTAGACATATATTTGGCTTTGCTAGGATTTTAGTGAAAAACATAAATTGCCCCAGAGAATTCTTGATAAAAGCAATTATGCAGATGGTTGAAAAACCATTTGTCGGCCACAAACATTACATTGTTGCAATGTATTTTTCTTAAAAACATATTCAGGCTGGAAGTAGTCAGTCATAATACGTGCTTGACGTTTGTTATTTCGCCACCAAACACGTCCACGCTTATACAGAGAGTCCAGAAGTAATTTTGAACTTCTCCGAAAACATTAAACGAGACCTTCAGCAGCCCCCTCCAGTGTCTTACGTTCTAAACACTATTGGCGTATGGCTAGAATGTGTTCACTTGTTAACTGGGGAACAACACATGGTAGCAGAGCATGAAGATTAACTACATGCAGACGAGTAAACACAGATTTGATGGGCTGATTTCTTGAAGCCTGGATTCTGATTTATCGAACCTTTGGCATTAACATTTTGTGTCTGCAGAAATCTGCAAGTTGCAGACTGAGACACATTGAACATACTGGCTACCTCTTTCAATAGCCTCTGCCAACGGCCCTAAGACGTTCATCACATTGTAGACGACACATTCCCAATCTGATCACAAAAACTGCATAATAGGAAGAGTAGAGAGCTCACATGTGACTGTGGATAATAAATGACGACCTACCCACATGGTATTTCATGTTCCACGTGCAATGACGTTGGGTGTGTTGATGCGTTAGGTTTTGGTTCTGAAACCGTTCCACCTCTGACAGTTAGTTTTCATAGCTGATCTTTGTTCTGACGACTGACAAATATATTTTAATGACACTTTACTTGTTTTGGAGAGCACAAATTGCCAACAGTAATTATCCAGAAATTGGTAATTCTGGATTAGCAGGGTCCGAATTAACGAGTTTCACCTAATGCAGGAAGTGTTAAACTAAGTGGACGACAAGTTACACCATGCCATGAATTCCAGTATTACCCGATTACCTATAAATTAAACTGCCAGGCAAAATAAAGCATACACTTGATAATGGGATTATACTTGGGTATATACTCTCTTTTGCAGTCTGTTTTACTTGTTTACCGAAATCACGTTGAACGAAGTGCTGATTAGTTTAGATAAATTAAAACGTTGAGTGACGTCACCTCTGAAGTGCACCTGCAGACTAACAAACACCATTGTATCTGGAGACGGTGAGACGCAGGCAGAGTGTGTTTGTTCTCAGCACGGGGACTCGCAGTGATCAGGCCAATAGAGACCCCATTCCTGTGCATGATATATGAATATATACAACATGTCGAGTCAGGAGAATTCAGCAGCGAGAGATGAGAAATCCCCTGTAGCATTCTCATGTAAGTATAACACGCTCTTTTTTATGACTGGAATGACGTCGTTATGGTATATGGGTCGTGTTACACTGAAGAAAATCTGCAATGTAACTTCGTGGCCACAAACTCCATTGCAATGAATATATACAACATGTCGAGTCAGGACATACTCTTTTGCGGTCCCGCGATTCGCTGTGCAGAGTTGCGTCCCTTGGGCACGCCAGAAACCTATGATTGTGGGTTCGAATCCCGTTTCGCCCCGATTATGTTTCTAGGTTTGTCAGCACCATACCCGTGCTCGTGGGTTTCACCGAAGTGGTAAACGTCTGAGACCTTCATCACTTCGGCTTTCCTCCCACATTAAGCTGACACGCCGTGATATGACTGGAATACTGTTAAAAGCGGCGTTAAACCCAACTTAACTCAACTCTTTCGCGGTCTGTTTTATTTTTTCTCTTGTATGTGCGTTAAACGAACGGCTGATAAGATAATTTAAAATTAAAATGTTGAGTCACTGGAATGACGTCGTTATTGTATATGGGTCGTGTTACACTGAAGAAAATCGTGACCGCAAACTCCATTGCATCTGGGGATGGTGAGATGTAGGAAGAGTTTGTTAATTCTCAGCTGGGGGACTCGTAGTGATCAGATCAATATATACACTTGCATGTACATGACACGTGAATATATACAACATGTCGAGTCAGGAAATACTCTTTCGCGGTCTGTTTTTTTACTTGTTTATCATGTGCACTTATCACGAACGTGTGTCTGCTTCAGTGTATGATCGCAAAAACCATTGTATCTAGAGATGATGAGGTGCAGACGGACTCGTAGTGATCAGGCCACAATAGACCACGTGCATGTACATGATAAGTAAAAAAATACGATATGTCGAGACAGGAGAAGCCAGCATCGAGAGATGAGAAATCCCCTGTAGCATTCTCATGTAGGTATAACACGCTCATTTTTATGACAAACGCAATTGTATCGTCTTGGTTTCAGATGAAATGTTTAATGTACATTGAACGTCAGATGAGGTGAGGTGAAACGCGTGTGTATGTTTGTCCTGGTTCGGACGTATGTTCGGTTAAACATGGATACCCCATAAAGACACACTGTTCTGACTCCCAGCAGGGTGACAGCAAGTACCTTCTTTTCACATCTTTGAATATCAGACTAGTGATGTATATTTAACTGTATTTTCTAACCGTATTTTTACCGTGTGTAAACAGTGGTTTTCTTACGAAGATATATTGTGAACGACCAGCTTAACTCCCATGTTCTTGTGGTACATTTTGAGTTGAACGGATTGTATAGTTACAATGTAATCATACCTTCTTTGATAGGTATTTAGAAGTTGCATTAAATTCCCTGCTGATCACACTTTGGCTGACACCAAAAATGTTTGCAACGTGACGTTCTGGGTCGTCAGACGACTGTTGACGCCGAGCGGGCATAGGTGCATTCGGTTGTATCAGTTGCAATCCTCAGCCACTGTTGTTGTGCTCTCTGATAATGTTGCCCAACGATGCCCAAGGTGGTTAAAACATTCGCTCGTCATACCGAAGAAACGGGTTCGATTCTCCATATGGGTACAATGTATGAAGCTCATGTCTTGTGTCCCCCGCCATGATATTGCTAGAACGTTGTTAAAAGCAGCGAAAATTCATATGAAGAGTCACTGTTCACAATTGTGACACTGAACCATTTGGTGACATTAAATAACAATAAAATGGCCAACAAACGCAAACGGTTTACGTTTATATTTTAAGTGTACCCTTCTTTTCAAAAACGTATTCAACCCCTTTTCTTCCAATAGTTGTATACACGCTTGTATTCTTTTGTAGTATCGTGCCTGTGTTCACAACGATGGCTGCTGGCCTTCGTTGGCTGGTTCGGGGGCATCATGCTGTACGCCGCCCGTGCCAACATCAGCGTCGCCATCGTGTGCATGGTCAAGGACACCGACATCAATTCCACGTCGTCGACAGCGGAGGTACAGTTTCCAACCACCTCATCACCTTCGCACTTTTACGTATCATGGTTAAGTGTGGCCGCCCTTGCATCTCTTCTTATTATGCTTCAAAGTGAGATTGACCAACCAGAGAGCAGAACTACTGACCCCACATGAGCCCGTATACCGTCAGTAAAAATCCAAAATGGTTGATACTGACCTGATATGAGACCGTATACCGTCAGTAACAGCCATCTTGAATTTTTCAACACCCACCTCACATATTACACATGGAAATTCTAGAGAAATTCGTCCTTGGAGACTCTGTTTTGTGTTTTAATATCATTAATTTTGATGTTTAACGTTCATGTTTTTTGGATCACGTTCGTGACTTTAATAAGATTATATAACGTCTTAGGTTGTAAGTGTTAAGTTTTGAGTTTTAAGTTTCGACATGTGCGACAAAGATACCAAATGGTGTAAACTTTCAGCATGATAAATTCGCGAGGGTCATACGGTGTCATGTTAGGTTGGCAGAAAAACATTGGACTTTGCTCACCCCTCTCTCAATATTATTTCTGCTAACCTAATATGATACCGGATACGGCAACTAAAGAATTCACAACTAATAGTATCCTGCTGAAAGTTCAAGGAAGCCCATCAGTAAGTGAGTGACTTTGGTCTGAGGTCGCTTTGAACAGTATTGCAGTTATACATTGGCTTAATGTAGGAGGATAGCCCAAAGCGATGCAGGTCTCAGACATTAACCACTTCGGTGAAACCCACAAGCACGGACATGGTGCTGACAAACCGGGGCAAACCGGGATTCGAGTCCACGACCATAGGTTCCTGGCGTGCCCAAGGGACGCAACTTTGAACAGCAAATTGCGGCGACTTGCCTCCGGACTAATATCGATGAGTGAAAAACAAAGTTAACGTAATCAAAGTGTACAAATCTTCCAATTAATTTGATGTAAGCGCTTAACGTGAGTCTATCGTTGAAGGTTATCTCGGGAAGTCACGAATAAAGGTACACATTAAATATTGAGCGCCCATTCCAAGTGCTGCTTAATCCCCAAATGGCTGACATCAGTTTCCTATTTTTAGCACGAATTCCACTGTGACGTCATATAGATCACGTGTTACTTTATATCTTTCAGCCTTGGGTATCGGTCGATGGCTTCCAAGTGTCCTGCCTTGTCAATCTTGTATATGTGAATTATAATTGTAAACAATGTAACCTCCCCTACTACCTATCTGAACATGGTATTGGTCCAAAGAGCGGATCCGTGAGCCTAATACTATAATTCCTTGTTCTCTACACGTTATATTTCCAGTATGCCGAGTTTAACTGGTCCAAAGGAGAGCAGTCCGGAATCCTCAGCGCGTATTTCTACGGCTGCATATTGATACAGATTCCCGCGGGAATACTGGCGAGTAGATATGGCGGGAAGAACGTCATGTTTATCGGGATGCTGATTGGCTCGATCGCCTCACTGCTTCTACCAATCGGCGCCCGGACTTCCATCTACCTGGTGTATGTGCTGCGCGTGATTCTTGGAGTGTCCCAGGTAGAGATGACTGTCAAGTTGAAAATTTACGCTCACATAACTTATTCTATTTGCATGTTACTTCTCATTAATGCAATTATTACTAAGGATGACAAATTCACCGATGGAATTGCGCATTGAGATATCTCACACAATTATTACAGTTATCACGGAGGCTTACACGAACCAACAACAAACCAGTCGATACAATTCCAATACTGTTACTCTTAACCAGTACATTTAAAGGTGCTTGTCCAATGAAAGAACGTCATTTGATCATAGTGGGTGTATTTATGTTCCGAAAGCTCTACAGCTTTTCTCCACAAGACAATACATGACGATGAGCTTGATTCTGGTTGACATAATGTTACACTGTACTCTCCCCAGGGAGTATATTTTCCATCTCTACAATCCATGTGGGGCCAATGGGCGCCACAACTAGAGAAGACAAAACTCACTGCTGTCTGTTACTCAGGTAAATCAGATTTGAAAGTTTATATTTCTGAGGAAATCGCCCAGTCTGACATGTGTTTCGTGGTGATTTCATATTGGAACGCAGAGGTTAACCTAGAAATCGGAACGCGCAGAATTAAAATATGTGAAATCAGTATATGACCACAAACGATCAAGGAATAATCAATAAATAATATTTAAACACACAGTTTCAAGATTACGATAAGAAAGTCAAAATGAATACAATGGGTCGAATAACTGGCACCAGCAATGGGTAACAGGCCTTCACTTAATGTTGGTGTCCCCTAAAGACAAGACGTGTGTGTACACAGAGCAGCCAAACTTCAACATAAATAACGAAACCATGAGCTGTAAATAACAACAAACAATGCAAATTGGTTTCCACAAAGTTGCTGAACAGTTCCGCTGTAAAACGGGCATCTGTTTGGAACTCTGGAGGGCGAGAATTGGTATTTCTCTCAACCACGAGGTCAAATCGGCCGTCTTGAGCCCTACTCCCCTCACTCGAATTGAGTGAGTGAGGTAGTGAGTGAGTTGGGTTTAACGCCGCTTTTAACAGTATTCCAGTCATATCGCGGCGTGTCAGTGTGGGAGGAAAGCCCGAAGTGATGCAGGCCTCAGACGTTTACCACTTCGGTGAAACCCACGAGCACGGGTATGGTGCTGACAAACCTAGAAACATAATTGGGGCGAACCGGGATTCTGGCGTGCCCAAGGGACGCAACTCTGCACAGCGAATGGCTCACGCGAATTGGTCGCCGTATGTTGATGTAGGCAATCCGGCCCTTGCGGCATGAATGTTCAGAATATTGTCACTGTCAAATGTAGCCGTCTCTGTGGTCTACTGGATAGAGTGTCTGCCTGGAATGCGGAAGGTCCGCGGTTCGATCCCCGGCCGTCTCATACCAAGGACGTCATTATGGTCCTTGATGTTTCCCTGCACGACGCTTGGGAGTTATGGGGTTAACCAAGTTCTTGTCGTCTCGGAGTCAGTATACTGTGTCTGAGCTGGGTATCGATGTTGAACAACTGCCGCTTGGTATGCCAGTTTCACATCCATCGCTGTACATAAAAAGTCATGGAGAAATGTTCTGAAGTCATTATTTCTAAATCTTGTGACCGACTTAAGTTTTTGATTTTTTAAAAATTAGTTGCTCAAATAAAATTTTGAAAACTCAGCCAATCTTTAAATCTAGCTTTTTTATAGAATGACTTGAACATTTGTCACAGATAGAAGGGTAAGCCTTTTGTTATGTTTCTTTGTAATTAATTTTCTACATTCCAGGAACTCAGTTTGGAAGCACAGCAACGTTCGCTTTATCGGGGTTCATGTGCATATATGGCTTCGATAATGGATGGGGTTCCATGTTCTATGTTACAGGTAATTAAGATATACACAATCCAATTCTAACGTGAATAGATTCATTAAAACTTCAAGCGACTATTCCCCACATCTTATTTGTATAACCGAGTATTCTTTCAAGCAAATTGTTACAACCTAATATACCTTTTCCCGTCTCTGTAATCAACCGGAAATCCATTATGTCCTTAACCATACTTAGTACCGTAGATAAAACCCCAATAAATACATAATGACAGTATTAACTTAGGTACATAACACACAATATGGCTTTACTCGGACAGTGAGCTAATGCACCGTCATATTACTGGAAACAGGTTCAAAGCAAGGTTAAACCAAACTCACTCACTCACACAGAAAGGTGTCCAGCCATCACAGATGCACCCCTTATAATCCTTATAATGCCTGCTAACGTATATTGCTTTGGACACATCATGAGTTTGTGGGAAATAACATTTGCCAAGAAGAAACAAGGAAATTGTTAAATCTTTGAAATCAATAAATGCTATCGTTTCTCCCAAGAACTAGTTGATATGACCCACTTTGGAACAACATTGTTTATCTCCTACTTACAGGTGGTATATCGTTGTTATGGTGCGGGCTGTGGTATATAACGGTCGCCAGCACACCGGCTCAGCACCCTCGTATCACGGAGAGAGAGAGGAACTATATCATCACCAGTATAGGGAAACAAGAACAGGTATCGTCCATTGTATCTACATGATTTAAATGTGTTATATATTCTTTTAAAGACCAGTGACTACTATAGAGGGTCGATTCAGTAACGACATGGTCGAAGCGTTTCTTATCACTCAATGAATATGGTTTGACGCCGGTTTTAGCAATATTCCAGGACTGGACATAATATTAACCGATAATGACGTATGCCTAACTGCGAGTCGATAACAGATGATAGCTAAATATTCATACAATGCAAAATACGACGTCAAATGAAATGAGCACCTTGTCGATTATGTTTAGCTAGATGACATGCTGTTTGAAAATCATTTAATCAATAAATAAATACACTACTACGATTGATAAATTAAACGATACAAGTTTCTTCTTCAGTGTTGTGCAAATAATACTTACGATTGTAGGTCGATTTACAATCTGTGTGTGTGTGTGTGTGTGTGTGTGTGTGTGTGTGTGTGTGTGTGTCCATAAACATCGAAACATTACGACATATTTGCAACGTCGCGTAACTACGACGTGGCTAAGGCAACGCTCCCTGAAAGCAAAATCGGTGTTGCGACGTGTCTCATTTTGGCGAGGTATAGGTATAGGTAAGAATGCCAAATTATATTATTATATTGTTATTTAGTCGGAGAAATCACTCGGACCTGCTGATTCTGGAAGTATTAATTAATTGATTAATCCGCCCCTTCGGGAAGAACACTTCCGGAATTAACAGATGCCAGTGATGTCTCCATTACTTCACAAATGAGGTGTTAACGTTGTTATCTAGACGTTCTCGACCCCATGGGCCGCCCTGCTGAAGTCACCGGCGCTGTGGGCGTGTCTAACTGCACACGTGTGTTCTAACTGGATAATATACACACTACTGACCATCACACCAACATTCCTTAAAGAAGTGCTGGATTTCGACATAGCCGAGGTGCGTATGGAAATACATTCGACGAATGGGTATTTCGATACCGGTGGAATAGAAACCAATAATAATTGAAAAAATGATTCTTATAGCTTGCGTCGAACATGAAGGAAACCTTATGTGTTGTTCTGAATTTTTTCATATGTTCAACGTTGCTTGTTGTGTGTTTTGTCTTCATCATGGACAACGCATTATTCTTAACTCTGATACACAATTTACACATCACATAATAACTCAATCTTTATTGTTCTCATGAAAAGGATATAACAAAAGAGTACTAATTGTGAACGTAAATCGTTTGATTTTCTATAAGAAAATCAGCATTGCTAGATGTGTGTATAGTGTCCATCATGGAAATGTTTAATGTAAATCGATTTATTTTCTTCACAAGAACGGCTTGCTGTCATCAATTCCCTACTTGAGCCAGGCTGTGTCCGGAATATTGACAGGTCAAGTGGCCGACTATATCCGGTCAAGGAATTGCCTCAGCACGACGGCCACCCGGAGGATCTTCCAGTCTATAGGTCAGTAACAGTAGATACACATATTGTGCCTGTCAGTAACAGTAGATACACACATTATATATGTCAGTACCAGTAGATACACACATTGTATATGTCAGTAACAGTAGATACACACATTATATATGTCAGTAACAGTAGATACACACATTGTATATGTCAGTAACAGAAGATACACACATTGTATATGTCAGTAACAGTAGATACACACATTGAATATGTTAGTAACAGTAGATACACACATTGTATATGTCAGTAACAGTAGATACACACATTGTATGTGTCAGTAACAGTAGATACACACATTGTATATGTCAGTAACAGTAGATACACACATTGTATGTGTCAGTAACAGTAGATACACACATTGTATATGTCAGTAACAGTAGATAAACATATTGTGTCTGTCAGTAACAGTAGATACACACATTGTATATGTCAGTAACAGTAGATACACACATTGTATATGTCAGTAACAGTAGATACACACATTGTAGATGTCAGTAACAGTAGATACACACATTGTATATGTCAGTAACAGTAGATACACACATTGTATATGTCAGTAACAGTAGATACACACATTGTATGTGTCAGTAACAGTAGTACACACATTGTATATGTCAGTAACAGTAGATACACACATTGTATATGTCAGTAACAGTAGATACACACATTGTATGTGTCAGTAACAGTAGATACACACATTGTAGATGTCAGTAACAGTAGATACACACATTGTATATGTCAGTAACAGTAGATACACATATTGTGTCTGTCAGTAACAGTAGATACACACATTGTATATGTCAGTAACAGTAGATACACACATTGTATATGTCAGTAACAGTAGATACACACATTGTATATGTCAGTAACAGTAGATACACACATTGTATATGTCAGTAACAGTAGATACACACATTGTAGATGTCAGTAACAGTAGATACACACATTGTATATGTCAGTAACAGTAGATACACATATTGTGTCTGTCAGTAACAGTAGATACACACATTGTATATGTCAGTGACAGTAGATACACACATTGTATATGTCAGTAACAGTAGATACACACATTGTATGTGTCAGTAACAGTAGATACACACATTGTATATGTCAGTAACAGTAGATACACACATTGTACATGTCAGTAACAGTAGATACACACATTGTATATGTCAGTAACAGTAGATACACACATTGTACATGTCAGTAACAGTAGATACACACATTGTATATGTCAGTAACAGTAGATACACACATTGTATCTGTCAGTAACAGTAGATACACACATTGTATATGTCAGTAACAGTAGATACACACATTGTACATGTCAATAACAGTAGATACACACATTGTATATTTCAGTAACAGTAGATACACACATTGTATATGTCAGTAACAGTAGATACACACATTGTATATGTCAGTAACAGTAGATACACACATTATATATGTCAGTAACAGTAGATACACACATTGTATATGTCAGTAACAGTAGATACACACATTGTATCTGTCAGTAACAGTAGATACACATATTGTATATGTCAGTAACAGTAGATATACACATTGTATATGTCAGTAACAGTAGATTCACACATTGCATATGTCAGTAACAGTAGATATACACATTGAATATGTCAGTAACAGAAGATACACACATTGTATATGTCAGTAACAGAAGATACACACATTGTATATGTCAGTAACAGTAGATACACACATTGTATATGTCAGTAACAGTAGATACACACATTGAATATGTTAGTACCCGTAGATACACACATTGTATATGTCAGTAACAGTAGATACACACATTGAATATGTAAGTACCCGTAGATACACACATTGTATATGTCAGTAACAGTAGATACACACATTGAATATGTAAGTACCCGTAGATACACACATTGTATATGTCAGTAACAGTAGATACACACATTGTATATGTCAGTAACAGAAGATACACACATTGTATATGTCAGTAACAGTAGATACACACATTGAATATGTTAGTACCCGTAGATACACACATTGTATATGTCAGTAACAGTAGATACACACATTGAATATGTAAGTACCCGTAGATACACACATTGTGTCTGTCAGTAACAGTAGATACACACATTGTATATGTCAGTAACAGTAGATACACACATTGTATATGTCAGTAACAGTAGATACAAACATTGTATATGTCAGTAACAGAAGATACACACATTGTTTATGTCAGTAACAGTAGATACACACATTGTATATGTCAGTAACAGTAGATACACACATTGTATATGTCAGTATCAGTAGATACACACATTGTATATGTCAGTAACAGTAGATACACACATTGCATATGTCATTAACAGTAGATACACACATTGCATATGTCATTAACAGTAGATACACACATTGTATATGTCAGTAACAGTAGATACACACATTGTATATGTCAGTAACAGTAGATACACACATTGCATATGTCATTAACAGTAGATACACACATTGCATATGTCATTAACAGTAGATACACACATTGCATATGTCATTAACAGTAGATACACACATTGTATATGTCAGTAACAGTAGATACACACATTGCATATGTCATTAACAGTAGATACACACATTGCATATGTCAGTAACAGTAGATACACACATTGTATATGTCAGTAACAGTAGATACACACATTGTATATGTCAGTAACAGTAGATACACTCATTGTTTATGTCATTAACAGTAGATACACACATTATACATGTCAGTAACAGTTGATACACACGTGGTATTATCGGACAATGGCGTCATAAATAGTGGCTTTATTTTCAGGGTTCGACCAGATTAACGGCTAGTCGCAAAAGCATAATCAATCGCCAGACGTAATTCTTTAATATTGCAGGTGGTTGAGTCAAGTCGTATAAATTCATTTTATTAAATTCTATTTTGTAATTTATTTTAACATTATCGGGACATGTTTGCGGTTCTTTCCCACTGCGAGGCGGTCGGGTAGTCTAGTGGTTAAAGCGTTCGCTCGTTACGCCGAAGACCCGGGTTCGATTCCCGACATGGGTACAATGTGTGAAGCCCATTTCTGGTGTCCCCCGCCGTGATATTGCTGGAATATTGCTAAAAGCGGCGTAAAACCATACTCACTCACTCACTCTTTCCCACTGCATTTAGTTTCATCAATGACGTATTAAAATAATATTATTCACCATTATAAAGCCATTTGTTTATATAAAATCATGTTAATCAGGACGGTAAATTGTACTGCCATTAAACAGTAAATGCAATCTTAGGAAGTATTTCTATGGGATGTCTTCCAATAATTGTGTTATTTTGCTTACGGTCTTATGTTTGGCATGATCGGTTTTGCTTGCAGACAAAGTGAAATGTTGGCAAAATTATAGGAAGACAAAGTGAAATCTTGCCAAAATGAGTGGAAGACAAATAAAATGTTGGCAGAATGATCGGAAGTCAAATTGAAATGTAGGCAAAATGATGGGAAGTAAAATGAAATGGAAAATGATTGGAAGGCAAAGTTAAATCGAGTCAAAATGAGATGTAGGCAAAATGATGGGAAGACAAAGTGAAATCGAGTCAAAATGAGATGTAGGCAATATGATCAGAAGAAAAATGAAATGTTGGAAAAATGATTGGAAGGCAAAGTGAAATGTTGGCAAAATGATGGGAAGACAAAGTGAAATCGAGTGAAAATGAGATGTATGCAAAAAGTAAAATGAAGGCAAAATGATCAAAAGGGGAAAGAGAAGTGTAGGGAAAATGAGAGGAAGGCAAAGTGAAATGATTTCGAAATTGTCGGAAGGCAAAGTGAAATGTTAGCAAACGATCGAAAGTCAAAGTGTAATGTTGGCCAAAATGCAATGTAGGCAAAGAGAGATGGAGATGTGATGATAAGAGTATCTCTATCATATACATCCAGCCTCACCTGTGTTTGGACATAATTTCTAAATATCTTTTAGCCAGTTATGTTTAGTGACACCCCATACATCCGGATGGTAGCGCTCCCGGTGAAATCTTCAGGTTATCAAATTTCCGGGTAGTCAAATCATTGAAATGGGGTAATGTCCATCGAAAATAGGAATATCTTTTTACCAGTTATAGATCAAGTAGTGGCTTTCCGGACTAGTCGGGATACACGCCACATGTTTTTCTACCAAATCTGTCATTTTATATCACAAATTAGGTTTTATTTCAGCCTTCGTGGGGGCAGGTGCGTGTCTGATCGCGACAGGGTTTGTGAGCGTGGAGAACCGCTATGTCGCTGTAGTTTTGTTGACGATAGCCATGTGGTTTGTTGGGATGGCATCTGCTGGTTTCTTTGTCAACACTGTCGACTTCGCACCAAGGTAGGGTTTCTTCCTCTTTTCAATTCAAGATGGGAAAATTCAGTTTTTAATGTGTTGTTCCATGTTGTTTTCAAAAATGTGTCGGATGGTTAAAACAAAAGATGTTATCATCGTTAAGAGTATAGATCATGAGATGACGTTATTTCATCTCTTTAGTTGGCCTTGTTTATCTGCGGTGGTGTCACTGAATACTGTTGTAGATATGTTACTGATATGTGTGAATATACAGTGTCCGGATATACAGTGTGCAGATATACTGACATACAGTTTGCGGATAATCAGAAGAATGATATTAAGTGTGCGCACATACAGTATACTGATATACTTTTTTTCTTCTTTTCTTTCTTTTTTGTTGTTGTTTAACGCCGCACTCAGCAATATTCCACCTATATGACGGCCAACATTATGCGGATATTCAGTATACTGATATAAAGTGAGCAGATATGCAGTATTTTGATATTAAGTGTGCTGATATGCAATATACTGATATACAGTGTGTGGATATACAGTATAGTGATATACATTGTGTGGATATACAGTACATTGATAAACAGTATGCGGATATGCAGTATTCTGATATACAGTGTGCTGATATGCAGTATTTGATATTAAGTGTGCTGATATGCAATATACTGATATACAGTGTGTGTATATACAGTATAGTGATATACATTGTGTGGATATACAGTACATTGATAAACAGTATGCGGATATGCAGTATTCTGATATACAGTGTGCTGATATGCAGTATTTGATATTAAGTGTGCTGATATGCAATATACTGATATACAGTGTGTGTATATACAGTATAGTGATATACATTGTGTGGATATACAGTACATTGATAAACAGTATGCGGATATGCAGTATTCTGATATAGTGTACTGATATACAGTATAGCCTGGTGGTTAAAGTGATTGCGATAAGTGTCGGACATCCGAGTTCAATTACCAACATAGACACAGTGTGTCAATCCAATTATTTGTGTACCCTGTCGGCATAGTAACGGAATATGGCTCAAATAGGCGTAACCATGGTTACTAATCCCTCAATGGACAGCTGTGGAATTCCGTGATATATTCATAGTTAAATATATTTTTCACTGAATGAAATAATATAATTTACAATTGTCATTGGTAAGTCCTTTTTCTTGTTTTGCCATTAAATAAAATGGAAATATCTGACGTTATTTTAAAATTTTGTTTTGGTATATTTGTTATTTAACACCTCGCAATATTTCACGTATATAAGAGCGTCATTTCCTTACATGGTTCATGTTTGTGTATATAGGTATCTGTGTCTCAATGTCGACATTCATGTTGCAGATACGCTGGTACACTGTTCGGTATTTCTAACGCTGCTGCGACGGTCCCGGGTATGGTGTCACCTCTCCTAGCCGGTGCCCTCACCCCAAACGTAAGTAGAAGAGTCGTTATCGGTTAAGTTCTTTGTTTGTTTTGTTGTACTCGGCTATCATAGTTAAACGGCCACTGTCAACGAACCTTATCATTCGATCCATTAAGTCGCTTCGTACGACATAAGACCAATTCTAACGCGGAATTCCAACGGTGACGTCATCATTTCTCATACGGGATTGTTTCTTATGATGTGATGTAAATTGTAACGAAAGGTGGTGACTCAATGAATCTGCTTGTAGTCGGTTCCCGCATTCATACTTATTTGGATTTTCTTTTTCTGTTCAAAGCCACACTTCAGCTACTTATGACAACATCCTAATGATCTACCCATGTCTGCGTCGTGCTGTTTGGCTTACCTCTTACATTAAGCTGACATAGCTCAATATGACTGAATACTGTTACACGGCGTTATGAAATGGTCTGCCCCTGACTGTTCACTCAGTTACCATTCTGGTTCCCTCCACTGCTGAAATATTGCTTACCGCGGCGTTATACTATCACCACTCACACACATCCTGTTTCTCCCCATAGAAAACCCAGGAAGAATGGCGGAATGTGGGATTTCTCGGATTTTCTTTCAGCTACAGCCCACCACCACCATAATATGAAATGGTCGGCCCACCTACTATTCACTCCGGTAGCTATCTGACTGGTGTAGCCTAGTTGGTAAAACGTTCACCCGAAGACCCGAGTTCGATTCCCCCCATATAATGTCAAAAGCCCCTTTTCTGGTTCCATACACTGTTGAAATATTGCTTACCGCGGCGTTACACTATTATCACTCACACACATTTGCCTCTCCCCATAGAAAACCCAGGAAGAATGGCGGAACGTGTTCTACGTGTGTGCGGGATTCTGTGTCCTGGGAACTTTGGTGTTCGGCACCCAGGCCCGTGGGGAGCTGCAGCCCTGGGCCATGGACCAGGTGGAGGTAGACGTTGGGGAAGGGCAGGAGATCCCCGACGTGTCAGTCAGGGCTTTGGATACCAAGGAAACTTTTGACAAGATGGCAATTACGGATATGTCAACCCATCTATAACAGTTTTCAGCCTAACAGAATACTATTATAGGCATAAAAGTGTAATATGTATTTAGATAATTAACAAATAGTTAAAGTAATTAATAATGCATAAGACACCTACTGATTATATAAAAAGGTCAAGAGGGGGAGTTGGGGTCGGTAAGACGGGAATATATATGTATAATACGGGCAGCTCTGGTAGTTGAAGACTACGGGAGCATGCCTGGCCATAAGCATCCAGGGGTGAGAGTAGTAGGTCGAGAGCTATACATTAATGAAAAATGATTAACCAGATTGGGAAATAGAGAAAAAGGTGGAACAGAGATTAGAGGGACGGAAACGTCAGGGACTGGAGACATATATGGTATTTGGGGGGGGGGGGGGGGGGGGGGTAGTTCGAATTCCAAGAGGGTAAGAAGTGACTTCAGATCATGCCGAATAAGGGCTGGTTATTAGGTAAGAGTGGGGAAAAACGACCTAAGGTGAGGGAGGAAAGGTGTTTGACCAATGAAATATGAAAAAAATGGGTAAAACCTTGACGTAAGCTGGGGGGTAAAAAGACGGGGAGACCCAAGGTTCAGGGAGACTGGAGGATTCCCTTGAGCACCACGATTTCGACCTTACTCTGAGAAACACCAGATCGTACCTCCAGTATTTCGGCCAGGACTGAAGCTTCGCGGCTAAAGTCCATTAGAACATCGTGACCAGAAGTTGGTGATCAATCTTGTCATTGAATAAAGCCATCGACAAAAGAAAACACTTTTGTGCTCATTGGAAGAACTACGGTAATTTATCCAAGGCCCTCGGGTACTGACATTGTACCTCTCGCACATCCCAGACTGTCAGCACCAAAGAACGAGGGGATTGCCGTGGTTCAGGTAAAGAGGTAACAACTGTTACACTCCTGCAATTAACATCAATTAACGCCTGTAATTAAGGTGTTAAAAGTACCTTTGATAATACAACATACATCGGTTGTGAACCCCATTGAGCCGTTTCATGGATTCGTTGATACAGAAAATTTTACAGGGAATGGTACTACACACATAATAACTGTGATTCATGAATTACATGACAGTTGAAAACTGTGAATGGTAAAAGTGGCCAAATCGCCATACCGACATTACATTGGAGATTTGCAAAGGTTAACCCAGAAATCGGTCAATAAATAGTTAATAAATTACATTGAAACACACAGTTTTAGTTTAACAATCACAAAAGGCAGCAGCAATAAGTAACATGTCTAACTATATATGTCAGTGGCTTCCGGGATGTCAAATATCCAGTAAGTGTTTCTTGCTCTGTTCTTGAATCCGGAGAAGTGTTGGAAGTTGGCAGGAATTCTGTGTCTTCAGGGTCCAAGATATCCTGTATATCCCGGTATAGGTCTCTTATATAGTGACATCAACCTTCTAGAAACTATCACATCGCGAAACCTGTCGAACGGTCAAGAAGTCCGGTGTTTGTCAACAACCAAAGGAGATCCCAATTCCCATTTCCAGTTACAATCTGGTCACTTCAGCACTCGATATGTTACAATCGATTCTGTCAGTTGCTGCCACTAAAGATTACTACAGTTAAACTTACAACAATATCTACAGCCACATGACGTTGTCAATAATGAAGTTTGGACAAACCAGTAATAAGCAACAACGTCTTACGCCGTCGACAAGCATACTTTGGTTCCTGGGGACCTATGCTGACGAAGAATTCCCAAGGGGCCGCAATTTGTAGCAACATCCCAAACAAAGTACAATACCCTTACCTCGTTGGATCTATATATTGTTGCGTCGGTGAAAACTGATGTTCTGCCATTACGTGTTCCAATTAATTAGTATGAGTGAGTGACTGAGTTCGCATTTACTCCGCTTTTAACAATATTCCAACACCATCACGGCGGGGGACACCAAAAATGGGCTTCACGCATTGAACCCATGTTGGCCAAAAAAGTAAGTATAAACTTGCAAATTGGATTTGTACAAATTTTTGTACAAACGTTATCAAAACGTAACTTGGCTGAAAACTGTCGCCCAAACACTTCACTCCAAAAACACAACTATGAAACCTGTATCAAACACATGACCATGACCATCTGTTGTGTTTCATGTTAGCCACCATCAAACATTGGTGCAAACATTCGTTTGCCAGGCAGTTTATGTGCGTTATGTAAAAAATGTGAATCACAATAACTGTATGTACAAGCCGAATGTGGCAACATGGCCGACTAGAGCTCATTAATGTTGTCTCAGTCAGTCACAAAATGATGTCGTGTCGAGATAGTCAGCGGTTCTGGTGCTGTTGTGTATTAATCTGAGCATGCGTCGGGATGAAGATAACATGAACCTATATGAGTTGGAGGGATCTGAAATAGGAAGAAGGCCCTGCTGAAATGTTGTGAAATGTAATGATTATATCAACATAGATTGAAAGCGCAGGGGCTCAGGTAGAGATATGAGTGAGTGAGTTGGCCTTGACCGCCGCTTTTAACAGTATTAAGCTGTAACTTGGTGTGTCTTCGGTGGGAATTCACACTCTGGTGAAACACCGACCTTCAAGGGTATGATTCTGACACTATCATAGCCAATCTGGGATTCGAACCCACGATCACCAGATCCTGACACAACTCAGTGACGCAGCTCACATACTGTAATTTGTGACGTGAGATTATTGAGTCATCTGGTGAAATCCAAACGTTTTGCTGATATCTGTTTTCAAAACATCAGAAAACCATTGACTATTGCTTCAGATAATGATATATCCAGTTTTCGACAACGGAGCGGGCAAACCAGTGGCTGGAAGCAGGACCATGCAGTCGCCTAAGGTTTCGCAATTCAGGAATCTTTCGATGTTTGTCTTGTTTGTTGTTTAACGCCGCACTCAGCAATATTCAAGTTACATGACCGCGGTCTGCAAATAATCGAGTGTGGACCATACAATCCAGTGATTGACACCATGCGCATAGATCCACTCAATTGGGGGGGTGGGGGGGTGGGGGTGGGGGTGGTGGGGGGGGGGGGGGGGGGGGGGGGAGATATGTTCACGAGTGCCGGTTCCGTAGTCGACTGCACACTGAACCGACTACTGGGGTAATATTTGTCACGCTGTTATCACATTCTCCTCTTTGGAGACGAAAAAGTGGGAAATAACTATGAAGAGGAAAATATAAGCAGTAAAGGAACCGTCTTTAAGAGCAATCATCATTATCATCATCACCACTTCCACCAGAACCACCATCATCGTCATCATCATCATCATCATCATCATTATCACCATACCCACCATCGTCATCGTCGTCGTCATCATCATCACCATCATGAACACCATGGACATTATCAATCCGACCACTTTCATATGAGAGATACTGTTGATCATGGGGTTAAATAACAAACCATTAACATACCCATTAATTATCATAGCCTCTCCTTTAAAACTGAGTGTGGGTCGACTTGATATGACACTTCGCTTGGTTGACACTCATTTCTGTACCGTCCAGCAGTACATAACCATCAACAAAATCAACACCGACATTGAGATTATGTCCCACATCCTTGGCTCGTTTCAGAAAACTGTGGAATGCCTTGTTTTCATCATGAGTCTTGACGTGCTTCACAAGAGGATCATCAGACAAATAAATATGTGCAAAAGTGCACAAAACAATTCTATCATGAAGAGCCCCAACGTTAATCAAACCACGCCCTCCCATAATGATTGGTAAATATAAGCGATTAAGTGAAGAGCGAGGGTGGTGGGACCTATTGTCTGACATGATAAATCGTGTGAGGGTGTCAATACCCTGAATTTCTTGTTTCGTCCAATCAACAACACCAAAAGGATATGAAAGGATGGGTACAGCATATTAAGTATTTGTGGCTTTAACTTTATTGGGAGCATTCAGCTCTGAACTCCAGTCTACTGTGCCCGAAGTTTTTTCCTTGATATGGGCATCCTGGAGATTGTCCTTAACCTGCATCCCTAAGTACGTTTAGGCCAGACCTTCCACGAGATGGTCATTAACTCCTCCTCCAAGCCTTTTAGTGTTATTATTATTGAGTGTACTCTCTTGTGAGAGAGGCCCTTAAAGTTCTGCTGTTGTGTGAACATTGCCTTTCCCCTCACGACAATACCATGTCAGTTTTCTTGGGACCCCAACCACACCTTTTGGCTTTTGGCCTCTGGACCGTGCCTCCGTAAAACTGCAAGATGAACGACCGTAAAAGCACGTCCGATATATCGCCTCCTTTGATATTGTTTTTAAACATTATACTTTGCATGACATTGTAATGAAACATACTTGAATTAGTACTGTCGTGTATGGCTATCCTAAAGAGCATTCCTATGCCAGTGTTGAAATAAAAACCGACGTTGTATCTATTCATGACATCTTGATTGATACCTCCAGGTCTTCATTGCACTATTCGACCGCCTCCGTGCTCTTGTGGATAGAGAGTCTGCCTGAGAGCGGAAGATCGGTGGTTCGATCTCCGGCCGTGTCATACGGGTTGGTTGGTTGGTTGGTTTGTTGTTTAACGCCACACTCAGCAATATTCCAGTTATATGACGGCGGTCTGTAAATAATCGAGTCTGGACCAGATATTCCAGTGATTAACATGATGAGCATCGATCCACACAGTTGGGATCGATGACATGCATCAACCAAGTCAGCGAGCCTGACCACCCGATCCCATTAGTCGCCTCTGACGACAAGCATAGTCAACTTTTACTGCAATCATGGGTTGCTGAAGACCTATTCTACCCCGGATCTTCACGGGTTCATACTAGGGAGAAAAAACATGGACCGGATGCTGTTACAGAAAAAAATAGTTGTTAAATTATCTTAATAAAAAAATAATCAAATGGAGCCCAGAGACTCTCTTCATTTTCAGCTGCTGAAAGCTAGACTTGCCAAACATCATAGACTTGCATGGGCTGTATTTGATATATTTGTATCAGGGTCTGTCTGATCATGACAGACTACTAACCTCACTGCAGTTTTGAAACACTTCTAAATCCCCAATCAGATAACTTCATGTACATTGCGTTATCGCGATTACAATGCAGTCACGATATTCCCAACCAGGTCATACGGGACTGGTCTTTTTCATTGTGAAATATTTAGGTATGACTCAAACGCAGGGGAAATAGCGAGAGATAAAACATTGAGAAAACATTCCGACATGTGTGTAACTCCAATAGTGATATAGCTGTGACAACTACAATACACCTGTTTTATGGATGACGTACGGCTGTGATATTGTGAAATAAATTCGAAATAGCTGCGGTATTGTAAGCTGTAATGTGTTACTACCCGAAGACATATTCATAATCTAGAATGGTGTACTGACTCTTTAGCCAGCCGACGACGGGCGACAACAACTACTACTACAACTACTACAACTACAACAACAAGAACAACAACTACTACTACTACTACCACTACTTGTACTACCACTACTACTACTACTTCTACTACCACTACTACTACTACCACTACTACTATCACTACTCCTATTACTACCACTACTACTACCACTACCACTACTACTACCACTACTACTACTACTCCTATTACTACCACTACTACTACTACTACCACTACTCCTACTACCACTACTCCTACTACCACTACTACTACGACTACTACGACTACTACGACTACTATTACTACCACTACCACCACAACCACCACTCCTCCAACCACCACCACCATCACCACAACTACCACTCATCCTACCACCACCACCACCATCGACACCACAACTACCACTCCTACCACCACCACCACCACCACCACAAATCCTTCTACCACCACCACAACCACCACTCCTCCAACCACCACCACCACCACAACTACCACTCCTCCTACCACCATCACCACCACCACCACAACTACCACTCCTCCTACCACCACCACCACCACAACTACCACTCCTCCTACCACCACCACCACCATCACAACTACCACTCCTCCTACCACCACCACTCCTCCTACCACCACCACCACCATCACAACTACCACTCCTCCTACCACCACCACCGCCACCACAACTACCACTCCTACCACCACCACTCCTCCTACCACCACCACTCCTCCTACCACCATCACCACCACAACTACCACCATCCCCACAACCACTCCTCCAACCACCACCACAACTACCACTCCTCCTACCACCACCACCACCACAACTACCACTCCTCCTACCACCATCACCACCACCACCACAACTACGACTCCTCCTACCACCACCACCACCACCACCAACACCACAACTACCACTCCTACCGCCACCACCACCACAAATCCTCCTATAACCACAACCACCACCGCCACCACAACCACCACTCCTCCTACCACCACCACAACTACCACTCCTCCTACCACCACCACCACCACCACCACCGACACCACAACTACCACTCCTACCGCCACCACCACCACAAATCCTCCTATAACCACAACCACCACCGCCACCACAACCACCACTCCTCCTACCACCACCACAACCACCACTCCTCCTACCACCACCACCACCACCACTCCTCCTACCACCATCACCACCACAACTACCACCATCCCCACCACCACTCCTCCTACCACCACCACCACCATCACAACTACCACTCCTCCTACCACCACCACCATAACTACCACTCCTACCACCACCACCACCACCTCCCCCACCACTCATCCTACCACCACAACCACAATTACCACTCCTCCTACCACCACCACCGCCACCACAATTACCACTCCTCCTACCACCACCACTCCTCCTACCACCACCACCACCACAACTACCACTCCTACCACCACCTCCACCACCACTCCTCCTACCACCACCACTCCTCCTACCACCATCACCACCACAACTACCACTCCTACCACCCACCCCCCACCACCACTCCTCCTACCACCACCACCACCACAACTACCACTCCTACCACCACCTCCACCACCACTCCTCCTACCACCACCACTCCTCTTACCACCATCACCACCACAACTACCACTCCTACCACCACCACCACCACCACCACAACTACCACTCCTCCTACCACCACCACCACCACCGACACCACAACTACCACTCCTATCACCACCACCACCACAAATCCTTCTACCACCACAACTTCTCCAACCACCACCACCACAACTTCCACTCCTCCTACCACCACCACCACCACCGACACCACAACTACCACTCCTACCACCACCACCACCACAAATCCTTCTACCACCACAACTTCTCCAACCACCACCACAACTTCTCCAACCACCACCACCACCACAACTACCACTCCTCCTACCACCACCACCACCACCGACACCACAACTACCACTCCTACCACCACCACCACCACAAATCCTTCTACCACCACAACTTCTCCAACCACCACCACAACTTCTCCAACCACCACCACCACCACAACTACCACTCCTACCACCACCACCACCACCACCACAACTTCCACTCCTCCTACCACCACCACCACCACCGACACCACAACTACCACTCCTACCACCACCACCACCACAAATCCTTCTACCATCACCACTTCTCCAACCACCACCACCACAACTAACGACACCACCACCACCACAACTCCTACCACCACCGACACAACTACCACGTCTCCTACCACCACCACCACCACCACAAATCCTCCTACAAACACCACCACCACCACCACAACTACCACTCCTCCTACCGCCACCACCACCACCACAACTACCACTCCTACCACCACCTCCACCACCACTCCTCCTACCACCACCACTCCTCCTACCACCATCACCACCACAACTACCACTCCTCCTACCACCACCACCGCCACCACAACTACCACTCCTACCACCACCACCACTCCTCCTACCACCACCACTCCTCCTACCACCATCACCACCACAACTACCACTCCTCCTACCACCACCACCGCCACCACAACTACCACTCCTACCACCACCACCACCACCACCACCACTCCTCCTACCACCACCACTCCTCCTACCACCACCACTCCTCCTACCACCACCACCACCACCACCGACACCACAACTACCACTCCTACCACCACCACCACCACCACAAATTCTCCTACCACCACCACAAATCCTCCAACCACCACCACCACCACCACAACCACCACTCCTCCAACCACCACCTCAACCACCACTCCTCCTACCACCACCACCACCACCACTACCACCGACACCACAACTACCACTCCTACCACCCACCACCACCACCACTCCTCCTACCACCACCACTCCTCCTACCACCATCACCACCACAACTACCACTCCTCCTACCACCACCACCGCCACCACAACTACCACTCCTACCACCACCACCACCACCACCACCACCACTCCTCCTACCACCACCACTCCTCCTACCACCACCACCACCACCACCGACACCACAACTACCACTCCTACCACCACCACCACCACCACAAATTCTCCTACCACCACCACAAATCCTCCAACCACCACCACCACCACCACAACCACCACTCCTCCAACCACCACCTCAACCACCACTCCTCCTACCACCACCACCACCACCACTACCACCGACACCACAACTACCACTCCTACCACCACCACCACCACCACTCCTCCTACCACCACCACCACCACCACAACCACCACTCCTCCAACCACCACCACAACTGCCACTCCTACCACCCACCACCACCACCACTCCTCCTACCACCACCACTCCTACCACCACCACCACCACCACTCCTCCTACCACCAACACCACCACCACAACCACCACTCCTCCAACCACCACCACAACTGCCACTCCTCCTACCACCACCACCACCACAACTACCACTCCTCCTGCCACCACCACCACCACCGACGCCACAACTACCACTCCTACCACCACCACCATTACCACAAAGCCTCCTACCACCACCACCACAACTACCACTCCTACCACCACCTCCACCACCACTCCTCCTACCACCACCACTCCTCTTACCACCATCACCACCACAAATCCTCCTACCACCATCACAAATCCTCCAACCACCACCACAAATCCTCCAACCACCACCACAACTACTACTCCTTCTACCACCACCACAACTCCTACCACCACCACCACCACTACCACAACTACTACCTCTTCTACCACCACCACCACAACTCCTACCACTGCTACGACCTATGATCTAGCTGCACACCGACGCCTACTTACTGATTTCAAATGTTTATTCCAGATATCACCAGTATTATCGCATGCTTGTCACAAGTAAGGTAAATGAACCCGTATGGTATAAGGCTTATTAATAAAATATCCTTAAAGCATGCGTCGTTTTATATTTTCACAGTAAATAGAAAGGTCAAATAAAAAATCCTTATCGTGTTTACTGTATCATGAGCATGTGTTTATGAATCACTATCAAATACCAGTTGTTCTCGGAAAGGTGTCTATATACAGTATAATATTTTACATGTTTTGCTGAAATCCTGTTTTCAATATACTAGTATAAACATAACATTTTTGGTCTCTATATTCACATTGTTGAAACTGAAACATCAACGCCCACTCGTTATCAATTGTTTATCACATATATCACTGGTACTTACCCTATGCTTGTCGTGTCATTATCACATGCAGGTATGCGTTTTTCTTCATGTTTCTCTAGTACAGCTGACACCGTAAGTTATCCCGCAAATGCAACACCGTATTGAAACTTGACCTGCGCACACTCGGCGATGGTATTAATAACAGTGACAAAGCACGAGGTAACAAGTGTGAGATGACAATATTTGGTTTGTCAAAGATTATCTGTAACTAGGTCGTCACACGTATAGACGAAAGAGGAGGAACAAGGATGTCGGAATCTACTCCTTTGATAGCGCCAAAAAGAGGCAAAGAAGATGACGGTGAGCATGTGACGGGGATTTTATCAAAAGTTTAAAATTCAATTCGTGCTGCTGTTTGTATTTCCCATAGGCTTTCTAGTAGCTTATTCAGTAGAAATGTGTGAGGTTGTGTCTGATGTCACCGATCTATCTTGACAACGACCGACAATGTCTCTACGTGTCACTCTAACAATGATTTTGTCATTCTCCCTATATGACGACAGATGATAACAGTGACCGTGTCTCCCTGTATCACGACATTTTTAAGTGTCCGTGCCTCTGTAAATCACGGCAGCTGTTAACAGTGACTGTGCCAACCTAGATCACGACAGTTGTAACAGGAACTGTGTCTCCATACATTATGGCAGTTTCTCTGTCTCCCCCATTATATCACGACAGTTTTTTATCAGTGACTGTGTCGCCCTCCCTACATCACGACAACTGTTAACATTTACCATGTCTACCTACATCACGACAGCTGTTAACTGTGACAATGTCCCCCTACACCACGACAGCTGTTAACAGTGACTCTGTCTCCCTACATCACGACAGCTGTTAACAGTGACAATGTCCCCCTACACCACGACAGCTGTTAACAGTGACAATGTCTCCCTACATCACGACAGCTGTTAACAGTGACTCTGTCTCCCTACATCACGACAGCTGTTAACATTGACTCTGTCTCCCTACATCACGACAGCTGTTAACAGTGACTCTGTCTCCCTACATCACGACAGCTGTTAACAGTGACAATGTCCCCCTACACCACGACAGCTGTTAACAGTGACAATGTCTCCCTACATCACGACAGCTGTTAACAGTGACTCTGTCTCCCTACATCACGACAGCTGTTAACATTGACTCTGTCTCCCTACATCACGACAGCTGTTAACAGTGACAATGTCTCACTACATCACGACAGCTGTTAACAGTGACAATGTCTCCCTACACCACGACAGCTGTTAACAGTGAATATGTCCCCCTGCACCACGACAGCTGTTAACAGTGACAATGTCACCCTACATCACGACAGCTGTTAACATTGACTCTGTCTCCCTACATCACGACAGCTGTTAACATTGACTCTGTCTCCCTACATCACGATAGCTGTTAACAGTGACAATGTCTCACTACATCACGACAGCTGTTAACATTGAATATGTCTCCCTACATCACGACAGCTGTTAACATTGACTCTGTCTCCCTACATCACGACAGCTGTTAACATTGACTCTGTCTCCCTACATCACGACAGCTGTTAACATTGACTCTGTCTCCCTACATCACGACAGCTGTTAAAAGTGACTCTGTCTCCCTACATCACGACAGCTGTTAACATTAACTGTGTCATCCTACATCACGACAGCTGTTAACAGTGACAATGTCTCCCTACACCACGACAGCTGTTAACAGTGACTCTGTCTCCCTACATCACGACAGCTGTTAACATTAACTGTGTCATCCTACATCACGACAGCTGTTAACAGTGACTCTGTCTCCCTACATCACGACAGCTGTTAACAGTGACTCTGTCTCCCTACATCACGACAGCTGTTAACATTGACTATGTCTCCCTACATGACGACAGTTTTTTAACGGTGACTGTGTCACCCTCCCTACATGACGACAGTTTTTTAACGGTGACTGTGTCACCCTGCCTACATGACGACAGTTTTTTTAACAGTGACTGTGCCACCCTCCCTACATGACGACAGTTGTTAACAATGACTATGTCTCCCTACATCACGGCAGCTGTTAACAGTGACTCTGTCTCCCTACATCACGACAGCTGTTAACATTGACTATGTCTCCCTACATCACGACAGCTGTTAACAGTGACTATGTCTCCCTACATCGCGACAGCTGTTAACAATGACTCTGTCTCCCTACATCACGACAGCTGTTAACATTAACTGTGTCATCCTACATCACGACAGCTGTTAACAGTGACAGTGTCTCCCTACACAACGACAGCTGTTAACAGTGACTCTGTCTCCCTACATCACGACAGCTGTTAACAGTGACTATGTCACCCTACACCACGACAGTTTTTTAACAGTGACTGTGTCACCCTCCCTACATCACGACTGCTGTTCACAGTGACTCTGTCACCCTACATCACGATAGCTGTTAACATTGACTATGTCTCCCTACATGACGACAGCTGTTAACAGTGACTCTGTCTCCCTACATCACGATAGCTGTTAACAGTGACTCTGTCTCCCTACATCACGACAGCTGTTAACAGTGACTATGTCTCCCTACACCACGACAGTTTTTTAACAGTGACTGTGTCACCCTCCCTACATCACGACAGCTGTTAACAGTGACTCTGTCTCCCTACATCACGACAGCTGTTAACATTGACTATGTCTCCCTACTTCACGACAGCTGTTAACAGTGACTGTGTCTCCCTACATCACGATAGCTGTTAACATTGACTATGTCTCCCTACATCACGACAGCTGTTAACAGTGACTCTGTCTCCCTACATCACGACAGCTGTTAACATTGACTCTGTCTCCCTACATCACGACAGCTGTTAACAGTGACTCTGTCTCCCTACATCACGACAGCTGTTAACATTGACTCTGTCTCCCTACATCACGACAGCTGTTAACATTGACTCTGTCTCCCTACATCACGACAGCTGTTAACAGTGACTCTGTCTCCCTACATCACGACAGCTGTTAACATTGACTCTGTCTCCCTACATCACGACAGCTGTTAACAGTGACTCTGTCTCCCTACATCAAGACAGCTGTTAACAGTGACTCTGTCTCCCTACACAACGACAGCTGTTAACAGTGACTATGTCTCCCTACATCACGACAGCTGTTAACAGTGACTGTCTCCCTACATCACGACAGCTGTTAACAGTGACTATGTCTCCCTACATCACGACAGCTTTTTTTAACAATGACTATGTCACCCTCCCTATATTACATTTTTTAGCAGTGACTGTGTCTCCCTATGTTAAGAACAGTTCAGCTCGGAGTCAGTGTACTGTGTTTGGTAACCTCATTATAACTGCGGCATTGCGTTTCTGTGGGCTAGCACAAAAAAACGTATAAAGAACTCGTACGGTCACTCGCACGTTTGCTTATTCGCACGCAAACACACGTGCATGGACGTCGTTGTATAAGTGTTATAATCATAAACGCGTTGTTAAAACCCCTTTTCACCATTCGTGACCAACTTGTGTTAATCCGAGACAAGCCGAATAGCGACTCGTGTCCCTCTCGTGGCCAATTTTTTGCGACGGGGTTCCGTCTCGGCGCAAACGGGCACAGATATAAGAATTATCAAGTCTTCTTCGAGACAATTCCAAGAATACCCCAACCATCAATGAGCCATGATCAAGACTATTACATACCTCCTGTGTACCATCAACTCATCAAATATTCCAACCAGTCGTTATCCCCTTCTTTATGTTCCTGGCTTCACCACCTTGTTAATGTGTCTGACATTTATTTACCGGCTTGTGTGCATGACAGGCTTCTCAGCTCCACTGTAATCACACCCAATCTACTCAACTGTATAAACGACCTGTGAAGATCCGGTGTAGAATAGGTCTTCAGCCACCCATGCTTGCCGTAAAAGGCGACTGTGCTTGTCGTCAGAGGCGACTAACGGGATCGGGTGGTCAGGCTCGCTGACTTGGTTGATGCATGTCATCGATCCCAATTGCGTGGATCGATGCCCATGATGTCAATCACTGGATTGTCTGGTCCAGGCTCGATTATTTACAGACCGCCGTCATATAGCTGGAATATTGCTGAGGGCGGCGTAAAACAACAACAAACAAACAAACATCTGTATAAACTCTACCTCATGCTTGTATATATGTTTCTCATCCATTCAGTGTATTTAAAGATGTTGATCCATATGTCTTATCTTTACATAAGTGTCAACTCGCTGCGTTATGATTCACGAATATTACCCCCATATATGTTATAATATATTCCAGAAGCTATTTGAAACACATCAGGACCGACGGTATTATACGGTAAAACTCAACACATTTAACTGAATCATGGGTATAGTTTTAGATGTAAAATCAAAACTATTCCGGAAAGATTCGTTGGCCGAAACCTTGAAGCCGTACGCGCACATTCGTCACCACTCGCACCTTTCCGTAACTTGCAAGGAGACTCGTCTCCCTATCGATGAATGTTATGTGCGAAAATACGACAAACCAATCAGAATGCGCGTATGATTTCAAGTTCTTCGTCAAGAATCCCTCAGAAATAATTTTTGAATTTACATATGTATTGCATCTTAAAATATACCCAAGACACAGTTAAATGTGTTCAATCATACTGTATAATTCCGCATGTCCATATGTGCCTTAAATTGCATCTGAAATATATATAATATATGGGGAAATATATGTGAACCATAACGCGACGAGTTGACAATCATTTCAGGTATGCCCGGAACCCGGTCGCAAAAATGGCCATGTCCCGGAATAACACGAGTTGGTCACGAATGGTACGCGCATTCTGGTTGGTGTGATGTATTTTCGCACATGACTTTCGCGCAAACCTTCTTGCAGGTTACGGAAAAGGGCGAGTGGTGACGAATGCTCTTTTCACATCACCTGAACTATCTGGACGTTGGCTTTGTCTTGTTATGAGTTCCTTAAGCACAATGTTCCTGATATATTCCTTGTATGAGAAAAAAGTAATAAGCCCATGGTTGGAGTTCCGAAATACCACCATTATTGCACTTATATAGCGACGTGCATGTACGTGTGTGTGTGTGTGTGTGTGTGTGGCTGCTTGTACTAGTTCGGACTGATGCGGATTTATAGTGCTAGCTCACTGAGATAGCATTCCGCAGTTTAACATGAATACCCCACTCAGTATACTGACTCCGAGCCGACCAGTCCTTGTTTAAGCCCCTTAAAGGGGCACTGATCTAACGCAATTCCCCGGGACTGGTTGTTGCCTTTGTTATTGTTTTTTCCCAGTGAGTACCCGGATGTATAGCAGAAATCTAGACTAGTTCGCGACCTCTGCTGCGCCATTCGTAAACGCATTAGTCGCTTTTATGGGTAGTATTAAGGGCGTATGGTCACATTGTTGAACAAAATGAAATACAGTTTTCGAGATAATAAGGAAATGTAGGTATCTTTGTGGGTAGCATCGGTAATGGTCACGAAGTTTTGATAAGTCACTTGCTTGGTAATTTTGCGATTTTCGTTTACACTATTTTGACTTGCAACACAAAGTACATATTTCACCTGAGCATTGCTTTTTTTATAGTGTGTATTTTTTTTTTACTGTCAAATGTTTAACAAATTTATTAAACGTCTAAATATTCAGTTATTTTACAAAGTGACTGAAAAACATTTCCATCTGTATTATTATGATAACGAATTCCAAACATTTTGATGTTTAATGTCATCACCAAGAGACTGAAAATGTTACGTTGAGAAAAGTACATTTCTATGTTGTTTGGCTTCAAATCCTACATAATAATCTGTTGTGATGTGTGTAGGCCCTTTTGATCGTCTTAATCAATCTGGACAGATTTTTTAGTCAAAATGACTGAAATATTTACACATTTTATCAATTGTCTGAGAGAATCACATTTTACAAATTGACGGTAATATATACACGCTTACAAAGGAAAAGACCTGTGAAAACAACGTCTACCGCGCATTGAAGAATTTCCCAACCAAGACGTAGAGAAACAAGAACGAATCGGTTCAAATGAAGGAAAACAAAATGCAAATATCATAATTACAACCTACCAAATTTATGTGTATAAATTTTAGGCAGCGTCCTTGTTCGAGGAATGTATCCGTGAATATCCACACAAAGGAACAATATCCCACTTGTCAGCAGCTGTACAAAGAAACCTATTCGATGTCACGTGTCTCTGTAACAATCATATATTTTAAAAGATATATATCGTTTCGGGATATTATAACCCGTGTTCGTTTCTCAACTGATCACTTAGATTGTTTCAGGTGTTTCACATGGGTGTCAAGTCTCAAGGGTCGGCTGAGAAAGCCCACGTGACAACTATTTTCATAACGTCCACGGTTTCTAAAAAATCCATTGAGTGATAGATAACAATGAGCAATCAATCAACGTATTATCAGTTAACCCTTTGAACAAAGTATGTTGTTTTTACATCGGCAGTTCACGCCATGATATGAGTGTATTCCCTTTGTTTTAGTAAACCTAGACATGTAAACACTCACTTTTGACATATCCACTGTGCAAAGATAACAGTGATTAATCAATCAACGTATTTTCTGTTAATCCTTTGATGACTAGGAACGATCCGTTGATTTACAAAAAAAGTATTCACCTCTTGCTGGGCTGCCACGTGCATATTACATAACACACATTTCACCTCACTTCAAACCTGGATTTAGATTGAATAATTACCCCAGACACAATAAATGCCAAATGGGAACCTTTGTCAGGTAATCTAAGTGGTGCTACCACTAATTGTACCTGTAATAAATTCATTTACTGAGCATCAAGTGAATGACGACAAATACACAAGTGAAGGGTTATACGAGAAAACGTGCATGTCAACAAGGGAGTAGTAATCGTATTATCGACGCAAGCCGAAATCCGAAAATGCTTTCATGCATTTTTTAGTATAAAACTATAACCATCTGGGGTATTTCCAAATGACGACATCCGATGAGCTCCGCTGTTCTTTTTGTCTGCTTGTTTAGGCTGAAGAAATTAATTAACATGCGCCCTTTGTCGAAATCTTTATAGATCACAGTTAACCAATCAGTGTTTATGCAAAAATGCGTAAAACAAATATTGCCTCCAGCCTCCAAGTTTATTTAGCTGTCCTTGCAGACGGTAGCCCAGTCTCTGGTCACGCTCAGTTGCATTGCGTATCATCCGGGTACTCACGGGGGAAAAAACAATAACAAAGGCAACAACCAGTCCGGGGAATTGCGTTAGATCAGTGCCCCTTTAATGCCGAGCGCCAGACAGGGTAACAACAAGTACCATCTTTTAACGTCTTTTGTTATGACGCGGCCGGTGATCGAACCCCGGACCTTCCGCTCTCCGGGCGGACGCTCTACCACAAGACCACGGAGGCGATCAAACAATGCGATAAAGTTCTGATCCTCAGGAAGGTACACAATATAATACAAGAACTTATAAGTATGACGTCCACGCATTGAGCACCGGATGGCCCTTCTCGCTTAGTTCTTGTTAGCCTACGGGGTTAGTGCTGTCGCTTGTCGGGCACAGGTTCAAGTTTGAATCCACTAAAAACCCATAGCATGATGCAACATTCTCGCACTGCGATCGATTCAATATTCCTAAAATTCTAAAAACTCTCTCTTGGTTTCCCGGTCTTTAACTGACAATTAACGGTACCATTCCCAATTAAAGTGTCCAGATAAATCTTTCCGGTGTTCAAATTATTATCATGGGGTTGTGTTCCAAACAATAATTATCCGCATTAACGGGGTCCGGATAAGCGAGTTTCACAGAATGTGTTAAAACTCCGTTGACAACAATAGCCATCATGGTTCTCTCTCTCTGTTCTCCCTCTGTCTGTCTGTTTGTCTGTCTGTCTGTCTGTCTGTCTCTCTTCTCTTTGTTTCGCTCTCTCTCTCTCTTCTCTCCCTGTGTCTCCACGCAGGCAAGCAGGCACGCACACACACACACCTTTACCCAAAAGCTGTTCATCAGGTTTTCTTCCAAACGCTGTCTACGCTTTTGTTTTCCTTTGTAGTACCGTGTCTGTGTTCTCAACGATGGTTGCTGGCCTACGTTGGCTGGTTCGGGTGCATCATGCTATACGCCGCCCGTACAAACCTCAGCGTCGCCATCGTGTGCATGGTCAACAACACCGACACTAATTCCACATCGTCAATGTCGGAGGTACAGTGATCATCACCTTCATATCACTGTTACGTATTTCATTTAGTAATGTTACTAAAACAAGAGTTTGCCACATACGTGGCTATATCCCCCGCCCCTGTTGCAGAATTTATGACATAATTAAACTAAACAAACCTTAACCTTGGTTAACCGAGTCGTAAATTGTAAATAAAAGAAGAGTTTGGAACCCAAGTCCATCTTGTTGCCATGGAAACGTAAAAAATAAAAAAATCTAAAATTTGTAAATAGCTAAAGGCACCAGTTCAGCATGTACCTGACAGACCTGCAAAGTTTCATGAAAAAATATTGAACGGTTTCTGAGCTATGCTCCGGAAACGAAACGCGACGGACGGACGGACGGACTGACGGAGCCCGTTTCTATATCCCTCGCCAACTTTGTTGGGCGGGGGATAATAATTGAGACGGTAAATATCACGAACACACAATGTCATTTAGAAAGTGGTCAAATGTAACAAATGCTATATTAGGGATAACACTTTCTTAGGGAAGGTAAAGATTCTCGTTCTTTTTTTGGGTTGAGTCTCTAATCGCCAGCACCCAGAGTCAGCGTTCAACCCACTCAGCCACCGAGACTTCCACAAAAATAAAAGTCCGACAACTTGTGCACCCATCCCGGACGTGACTCAAAGCAAAACAAGTACGAGAATCTGTACTTTACTAAGAAGGTGTTATCCCAAATATAACTGTTTCTTCTACTGATTCAGTAATACTCGGAAAATATTATACGAGTATGCGAGTGGTACTCATTTTACGGAACGAGTGTCAGGATTCTTCTTTTTCCCGAGCGAGAGCGAGGGTAAGACATGAACTCTTTCAAGATTTTTCTTGAACGCGAGTCCTATACTGGTCGTTGAAACACTGGTGTCGTGAGCAGAATGGGTTTTGGTTTGGTTTGTTGTTTAACGCCACACTCAGCAATATTCCAGCTATATGACGGCGGTCTGTAAACAATCGAGTCTGGACCACACAATCCAATGATTGATATCATGAGCATCGATCCACGCAATTGGGATCGATGAAATGCATCAACCAAGTCAGAGAGCCTGACCACCCGATCCCGTTAGTCGCCTTTTACGACAAGCATAGTCGCCTTTTACGGCCAGCATGGGTTGCTGAAGACCTATTCTACCCCGGAATCTTCACGAGTCAAGATCATATTTCCCGAGCGAGAGCAAGGGTAATACATGAATTCTTCCCAGAGTTTTCCTGAACGCGAGTCCTCCACTGGCGGTTGTAACACTGGTGTCGTGAGCAGAATGGGAATTCAACTGTGACGTAATAAGATCACATGTTCCACCGTTGGTTATCGCTCATGTTTGTTTGTTTGTTTGTTTGTTTGTTGGTTAACGCCACACTCAGCAATATTCCAGCTTTTTGACGGCGGTTTGTAAATACTCGAGTCTGGACCAGACAATCAAGTGATTGACACCATGAGCATCGATCCACGAAATTGGGATACGATGACATGCATCAACCAAGTCAGCGAGCCTGACCACCCGATCGCGTTAGACGCCTTTTACGGCAACCATGGGTTGCTGAAGACCTATTCTACCCGGATATTCACGGGTCTCGATGGCATGTGTCCTGCCTTGTCTATAGTATTGCATTCAAGATAATATGTGTTTTAACTCCTCCACTACCTAGAGGTTAAAGAGTTCGTTCGTCAAGCCGAAGCCCCAGGTACGGTTCCCCACATAGGAACTCTTCTTGGTGTTACTCGCTCACTCACTCACTCACTCACTCACTCACTCACTCACTCACTCACTCACTCACTCACTCACTCTCCTATTTCAGTTATGGTTCAAAGATGGGATCCGTGAGCCTGACATGTTATTACTTGTACACATGTACTCTACACGTTATATTTCCAGCATGCCGAGTTCTACTGGTCCAAGGGAGGGCAGTCTGGAATCCTCAGCTCGTATTTCTACGGCTACATGGTGACACAGATTCCCGCGGGAATACTGGCAAATAGATATGGTGGGAAGTACGTCATGTTTATCGGGATGCTGATTGGCTCGATCGCCTCACTGCTTCTACCAATCGGCGCCCGGACTTCCATCTACCTGGTGTATGTGCTGCGCGTGATTTTGGGCGCGTCCGAGGTAGAGATGACTGTCAAGCTGAAATTTTACCCTCACCGTATTTCCTCTATTAGACGTTCGGACGTCTATTAATTTCGCGCAGACCGTTGACCCAGGGTCTATAAGAGACCGGTGTGTATTAGAGGCTATTCTGAATGTTGGCGGATTGGTAACTTACAACCGTATAAAAAATCCTAAATTGTACAGTCATACAAAACGTACAGTTATTATTTTCCCGAGGCATGAGCGTCCACTTGCCCTTTTATCAAAGTCTATCCTACCTTGCCACATCAAGCCCACTTCCTTGTGCTAAATATGATTGGACTATCGCACATATCGATAGCCCAATCAGAGAACGTTTCACAAAATGAACATCCACGACTGGCACACCTTCGTATAAAAGAGATTTACCGCTGTCTGTCTTTGTTGACACGTCTTTTTCATCGAAAGACGATTACGTATGTTTTTGTGTCAGGGGTGAAATTGCGAATGATTTCGTTATCTGATCGACAAGGTCGTCGCCATCTTTGTGAAGCTATACAAGACAAGAACAGCGATCACAACTCGTGATCTACGCGAGGTGGCGCCAGGGTCGTGCCAAGAAAAGTGGCCTTGATGTGGCAAGGGTAGAAACTAGGCTTTGATAAAAGCTAATGGACACGCTTGCCTCGGGAAGATGTACATTTATAGGGAACGGTCACTACGGTCACGCGCGTATTAGAGCCAGGCTTCTGGTTGAGAAAATACGGTACATGTATTTTGTAATTTACTGAGGCTGGAATATTGCTAAAAGCGGCGTAAAACCATACTCACTCACTCACTTAAAGGAAAGAACAACAAACAAATCATCACAATTCCAATAGTGTTACTCTTAACCAATTCTGAAGCAGATTAAAAGGTTCGTGTCCAATAAAGAATGATCATTTGATCACGTTGAGTATATTTCTATCTCGAGCACAAGGGAGAAAATGATCACGACTTTAATTCTAAACTCTCTACTCTCCCCAGGGAGTCCTGTTTCCATCTCTACAATCCATGTGGGGAAGATGGGCGCCGCCATTAGAGAGGACTAAACTCACTGCTGTCTGTTATTCAGGTACATTAGATTCGAAGGTTTGAATTTCTGATCAAAGCCTGGCATGTGCATGCATACAACAAGGGCAGATAACTCTAACACTAATACAAAACCTTTCCGACCTCTTTTTAAATCTGGTCACAACAGCACATCTCTGTTTCACTGTGCAGAGTTGCGTCCCTTGGGCACGCCAGAAACCTGTGATTGTGGGTTCGAATCCCGGTTCGCCCCGATTATGTTTCTAGATTTGTCAGCACCATACCCGTGGTCGTGGGTTTCACCGAAGTGGTAAACGTCTAAGACCTGCATCACTTCGGGCTTTCCTCCCACATTAAGCTGACACGCCGTGGTATAACTGGAATACTGTTAAAAGCGGCGTTAAACCCAACTCACTCACTCACTCAAATGTCTACATATCGAAAGTCACGGAGAAGTGTTCTGAAGCCATCATTTCTAAATGTTCTGACTGACAAAAACTACATGTGTATGTTCTTTTTATTTAAAATAAGTTAATTGCGAAAGTAGTTTTTTTCAGAGAGCATGTGTACAGACTGAAATATTTGTCACATTGTCAAGTGGAATCTGTTTTTGTTTTTTGTCATGTTTCTTTGTTATTAATATTCTTCATTCCAGGAACTCAGTTTGGTAACATAGCAACGTTCGCTATATCGGGGTTCTTGTGCATATATGGCTTCGATAATGGATGGGGATCCATCTTCTATGTTACAGGTAATTCAGATAAACATATTCCGATTCTAAAGTGAATAGATTCATTCACACTTCAAAATTCATTCACGCTTCAACCGATTAGTCCTTATATGTAATTTGTTACAACGAAATATTCGATATATTCGTCTTCATAATTATAGTAAAACAGCGGTGAAAACCGCCACATGAATGCTTCAGTGATGACACCATGCAACACAGCATGTCAGCTCATGTGTTTTGTCGATCGCACAAAAAGTGATTTTTTTTGCTTACTGCCCATGCATAATATCAGGATCTTCATCTAATTTCAACAATATTTGTCTTCTCCGATAGTTGGTTGGTTGGTTGGTTGGTTTGTTGTTTAACGCCGCACTCAGCAATATTCCAGCTATATGACGGCGGTCTGTAAATAATCGAGTCTGGACCAGACAATCCAGGGATTAATATCATGAGCATCGATCCACGCAATTGGGATCGATGACATGCATCAACCAAGTCAGCGAGCTTGACCACCCGATCCCGTTAGTCGCCTTTAACGACAAGCACGGGTGGCCCAGTTGCGTCCCTTGGGCACACCAGAAACCTGTGATTGTGGGTTCGAATCTCGGTTCGCCCCGATAATGTTTCTAGGTTTGTCAGCACCATGACCGTGCTTATGCGTTTCATCTAAGCGGTAAACGTCTGAGACCTGCATCACCTCGGACTTTCCTCCTACATTACGTTGACACGCCGTGATATAACTGGAATAATGTTAAAAGCGGCGTTAAACCAAACTCACTCACTCACTCAATCCAGAACCAGTGATCGTGAATTCAAGTTGTGGGTTTGGCCTGCATCACTTCAAGTTTTCATCCAGCAGCCGTGAATCATCTGGACTCTTGTTCAAAGCCTGCTCACCCAGCCATCGACCCATCCTCATCACTCACCCACACCCTCATTTACTCAGAAATGTGTCGGGGCATCATAAATGTTGTCATAGCTTTGCCTACAAATGTATTAATGTTTTGGACATACAATCCGTATGTAGGGCGATTATATTTGCCCAAAGGAAACAAGGAATTTGTTCAATCTTTGAAATCAATAAATGCTATCTTTTCTCTCAAGAACTAGTTGATATCACCCACTTTGGAACAACATTGTATATTTCCCGTCAACAGGTGGAATATCGTTGTTATGGTGCGGGCTGTGGTATATAACGGTCGCCAGCACACCGGCTCAACACCCTCGTATCACGAAGAGAGAGAGGAACTATATCATCACCAGTATAGGGGAAAAACAACAGGTATCGTTAATATTAAGACAAACTAACTCGGTGAACTTTCTTTTGCCCTCAGTTTATCAACCATAACATGGTAAACGTCAGAGAATCTGTTGATTGCGGAAGTAGAATCACCCGTGAAGATCCGGGTAGAAGCGGTCTCCAGCAACCCATGCTTGCCGTAAAAGGCGACTATGCTTGTAAGAGGCGACTAACGGGATCGGGTGGTCAGGCTCGCTGACTTGGTTGATGCATGTCATCGTACCCCAATTGCGTGGATCGAAGCCCATGATGTCAATCACTGGATTGTCTGGTCCAGACTCGATTATTTACAGACCGCCGTCATATAGCTGGAATATTGCTGAGTGCGGCGTAAAACAACAAACCAAACCAAACCGGAAGTAGAATCAACTTGCCCTTCTCGTTTATTCTACATTCGGAATGAACAGATTGGAGTGATGTGTCCATTACTTCACAAATGAGGTGTTAACGTTGTTTTCTAGACGTTCTCGACCCCATGGGCCGCCCTGCTGAAGTCACCGGCGCTGTGGGCGTGTCTAACTGCACAAATGTGTTCTAACTGGATAATATACACACTACTGACAAACTTACCAACATTCCTTAAAGAAGTGATGGATTTCGACATAGCCGAGGTGCGTATGTAAATACATTCGACTTATGGGTATTTCGATACCGGTGGAATTGAAATCAATTATATTTAAAAAATGATTCTTATAGCTTGCATCGAACATGAGGAAAAACCTATGTGTTGTTCTGAAATCGCACTTCCTGATTACACTGGGGTAGCCTAGTGGTTAAAGTGTACGCTTGTCACAGGAAGACCCGGGGTCGATTCTCCACTTGGATGTTGACCCGATATTGAACGAATATTTCTGAAACAATGTAAAACTGTCCAGACTCACATTAAGTGTTAATTTTCATATATTCAACGTTGCCTGATGTGTGTTTTGTGTTCATCATGGACAACGCATTCTTCTAAAATCTAATACATAATCTACACTATTTCAAAATAACTCAATCTTAATTGTTCTCACAAGAACGGCTTGCTGTCGTCCATTCCCTACGTGAGCCAGGCCGTGTCCGGAATGTTGTCTGGTCAAGTGGCCGACTACATCCGGTCAAGGAAATACCTCAGCACGACGGCCACCCGGAGGATCTTCCAGTCTATATGTCAGTACCTGTAGATACACACATTGTATATGTCAGTAACAGTAGATACACACATTGTATATGTCAGTAACAGTAGATACACACATTGTATATGTCAGTACCAGTAGATACACACATTGTATGTGTCAGTATCAGTAGATACACACATTGTATATGTCAGTAACAGTAGATATACACAGTGTATATGTCAGTAACAGTAGATATACACAGTGTATATGTCAGTAACAGTAGATATACACATTGTATATGTCAGTAACAGTAGATACACACATTGTATATGTCAGTAAGAGTAGATACACACATTGTATATGTCAGTAACAGTAGATACACACATTGCATATGTCAGTAAGAGTAGATACACACATTGTTTATGTCAGTAACAGTAGATACACACATTGTATATGTCAGTAACAGTAGATACACACATTGTATATGTCAGTAACAGTAGTACACACATTGCATATGTCAGTAACAGTAGATACACACATTGTTTATGTCAGTAACAGTAGATACACACATTGTATATGTCAGTAACAGTAGATACACACATTGTATATGTCAGTAACAGTAGATACACACATTGTATATGTCAGTAACAGTAGATATACACAGTGTATATGTCAGTAACAGTAGATATACACAGTGTATATGTCAGTAACAGTAGATATACACATTGTATATGTCAGTAACAGTAGATACACACATTGTATATGTCAGTAACAGTAGATATACACAGTGTATATGTCAGTAACAGTAGATATACACAGTGTATATGTCAGTAACAGTAGATATACACATTGTATATGTCAGTAACAGTAGATACACACATTGTATATGTCAGTAACAGTAGATACACACATTGTATATGTCAGTAACAGTAGATACACACATTGTATATGTCAGTAACAGTAGATACACACATTGCATATGTCAGTAACAGTAGATACAGACATTGTTTATGTCAGTACCAGTAGATACACACATTGCATATGTCAGTAACAGTAGATACAAACATTGTATATGTCAGTAACAGTAGATACACACATTGCATATGTCAGTAACAGTAGATACAGACATTGTTTATGTCAGTACCAGTAGATACACACATTGTATATGTCAGTATCAGTAGATACACACATTGTATATGTCAGTAACAGAAGATACACACATGATTGTATATGTCAGTAAGAGTAGATACACACGTTGTATCTGTCAGTAACAGTAGATACACACATTGCATATGTCAGTAAAAGTAGATACACACATTGTATATGTCAGTAAAAGTAGATACACACATTGTATATGTCAGTAAAAGTAGATACACACATTGTATCTGTTAGTAACAGTAGATACACACGTTATATATGTCAGTAACAGTAGATACACACATTGTATATGTCAGTAACAGTAGATACACACATTGTATCTGTCAGTAACAGTAGATACACACATGATTGTATATGTCAGTAACAGAAGATACACACATTGTATCTGTTAGTAACAGTAGATACACACATTGTATTTGTTAGTAACAGTAGATACACACATTGTATCTGTTAGTAACAGTAGATACACACATTGTATCTGTTAGTAACAGTAGATACACACATTGTATCTGTCAGTAACAGAAGATACACACATTGAATCTGTTAGTAACAGTAGATACACACATTGTATCTGTTAGTAACAGAAGATACACACATTGTATCTGTTAGTAACAGTAGATACACACATTGTATCTGTTAGTAACAGTAGATACACACATTGTATCTGTTAGTAACAGTAGATACACACATTGTATCTGTTAGTAACAGTACACATACGCATTGTATCTGTTAGTAACAGTACACATACGCATTGTAATATCGGGCAATGACGTTATAAATGGTGGCTTTGTTTTCAGAGTTCGACCAGATCTGTGTCGCACCTTGAACTGTTTTAACGCTTTATGGATCGTTGCATAAGTTCACACAAACGGTTTAATATTTCAGGCGTTTGAGTTGAGTCCTGTTTGACCAAATTGACGTGATTTTTCTTAACAATATCGGGGCATGGTTTCTCTGTCCTTCCCTTCTGCACTTAGTTTGATCACTGACTTCTTACAAATTATAATTCCCTTCACCATAACATTAAGTCTTTTGTTGAAATAAAAGCATGTTAATGAGGACGGTGAATTGTATCGTCATTAAACATTACATGCCATCTTATTGTCCACTGCATCAGGGGCGGTCGGGTAGCCTTGTGGTTAAAGCGTTCGCTCGTCACGCCGAAGACCCGGGTTCGATTCCCGACATGGGTACAATGTGTGAAGCCCATTTTCTGGTGTCCCCCGCCGTGATATTGCTGGAATATTGCTTAAAGTGGCCACCACTACTACTACTTTTGCTTCTACAACTAGTGCAACTAATATTACTACTAATACTACTTCTACTACTGCTACTGCCACCACTACTACTACTATATACTACTACCACCACCACTACTTTTGCTTCTACAACTAGTGCAACTATTATTATTACTACTACTCCTACTGCCACCACTACTACTACTGCCACCACTACCACTACCACTACTATTTACTACTACTACTACTACGACCGCCAATACCACCACCACCACCACCACTACTACCACCACCACTACCACTACTGCCACTGCTACTACTACATTTGTGTAGGAATACACCTTCAACGGCAAACGCCCAAGAAGAGAGTTTCCGAACTAAAATGGGGTTGCACTGCACATGTTTTCCTACCAAATCATTTTGTATCACAAATATTTTCCATTTCAGCGTTCCTAGGGGCAGGTGCATGTCTGATTGGGACGGGGTTTGTGGGCGTGGAGCACCGCTATATCACAATAGTTTTGTTGACGATAGCCATGTGGTTTGTTGGGATGGCGTCTGCAGGCTACCTTGTCAACACTATCGACTTCGCACCAAGGTAGGGTTTCTTGAACCTCTTAATTCAAGATAGGACAACTCATTCTGTAATGTGTAGTTCCACGTTGTTTGAATCGGTAATAAAATAGGTTGTCATAGTTAAATGTGTACTTCAGGGACAGGAGATGGCGCCATTTTGTTTATCTGTAGTGATGTAAGTGTACAGTGATGCACTCTGCGCGGACATACAGTGTGCGGACATACGGTGTGCAGACATAGTGTGCGGATAAACAATGTTCTGATATACAGTGTACTGATATGATATAACGTGCGGACATATAGCATGCGGATAAACAGTGTGCGGATAAACAATGTGCTGATATACAGAGTACTGATATGAGTGAGTGAGTGAGTGAGTGAGTGAGTGAGTTGGGTTTAATGCCGCTTTTAACAGTATTCCAGTTATATCACGGCGTGCCAGCTTAATGTGGGAGGAAAGCCCGAAGTGATGCAGGTATCAGACGTTTACCACTTCGGTGAAACCCACGAGCACGGGTATGGTGCTGACAAACCTAGAAACATAATCGGGGCGAACCGGGATTCGAACCCACAATCATAGGTTTCTGGCGTGCCCAAGGGACTTGCTCAACCAGTAGAGGTAGAATATCTGACGTAATTTCATAGTTTCGTTTTGCATGTTGTCATCTAACGGCACACTAAGCAATATTACGCGAAGTGCCGGATTCAGAGGGGTGGTTCTGGGGGTGGCCACCCCTTCTTTTTACATCCGATGACATTTTGTATGCACATTGCTTAGATTTTGTTCCCTCCCCCCCCATATCGCACCTTTTCTCTTTTTTTTCTCCCGGATCCGCCGCTGGCTTGTGTATCATCAGAGCGTCATTCCCTTAAATAGTTCATGTTTGTGTATATAGTATCGGTGAATCAATGTCGACATTCATGTTGCAGATACGCTGGTATACTCTTCGGTATAATTAACGCTGCTGCGACGGTCCCGGGGATGGTGGCGCCCCTCGTGGTCGGTGCCCTCACCCCAAACGTAAGTAGAAGGGTTGTCATCGATTAAGTGTTTGCTTGTGTGTTTGTTTTTTGTTTAAAGTCGCACTAAGCTATGACATAAATATAAAACTTCAACTCCATCGAATAATCAGACTCGATTGTCCATCGAAACAGATCCCATTGGGCGTAAAAGGCAAAATATTGTGGAAAATTATATGAATGGTTCACTGCTAATCAGTGATGACACCAGGTTTTTACCGAAAAGGGTAAGCATGTAACCAAGGCAACGAATCTGAACATACAATTCATTCAAAGTCGTCTCGTACTACAATCGAAGGTTGCTGAGGACTAATTCTAACCCCGAATCACCACGGGACGTCATTAGTTCAAAAACTGGACGTCATTAGTTTATACACTGGACGTCATTAGTTTATACACGGGACGTCACTGGTTCATACAAGGGACGTCATTTGTTCATACACGGGACGTCATTAGTTCATTTACGGGACGTCATAAGTTCATACATGGAACGTCATTAGTTCATACACGGAACGTCATTAGTTTATACACGTGATGTAATTGGTTTTATACACAGGACGTCATTAGTTCATACACAGGACGGCATTAGTTCATACACGGGACGTCATTAGATTATACACGGAATGTCATTAGTTCATACACGGGACGTCATTAGTTCATACACGGGACGTCATTTGTTCATACACGTGATGTCATTGGTTTATACAAAGGACGTCATTAGTTTATACACAGGACGTCATTAGATTATACACGGGACGTCACTAGTTCATACACGGGATGTCATTTGTTCATACACGGGACGTCATTAGTTCATACACGGGACGTCATTAGTTCATACACGGGACGTCATTAGTTCATACACGGAAGGTCATAAGTTCATACACGGAACGTCATTAATTCATACACGGAACGTCATTAGTTTATACACAGGACGTCATTAGATTATACACGGGACGTCACTGGTTCACACACGGGACGTCATTTGTTCATACACGTGACGTCATTAGTTCATACATGGGATGTCATTAGTTCATACACGGAACGTCATCAGTTCATCCACGGGACGTTATTAGTTCATACACGGGACGTCATTTGTTCATATGCGGGACGTTATTAGTTTATACATGTGACGTAATCAGTTTATACACGGGATGTCATTAGTTCATACACGGAACGTCATCAGTTCATACCCGGGACGTTATTAGTTCATACACGGGACGTCATTTGTTCAAACGCGGGATGTCAAAAGTTTTTACACGAGACGTAATTATTTTTTACACAGGACGTCATCAGTATATACACGGGACGTCATCAGTTTATACACGTGGCGTCCATAGTTAATACACGGGACGTCAATAACGGTCATTAGTTTGTACACGGGACGTCATTAGTTTATTATCCCAAACTGGTTCCCACAGGAGATCAAGCGATATCTACATTGTAAGCCTATGTTAAAGTATGAGAGTTACGATCATCTTAGCGCTGAGATCGCTTTGTGCAAGTGGGCCCAGGTGGACGACCGTCAGCGTGAACGTCATCACGGTCAAGTTCAAGTTTCACAACTACAGGGTCGCGTGACTCCCGTACACAACCTAAAGCCAATCCAAACCACGCTTTATCGAAGTCGATTATAGTGATGTTAACAAAATGATTGATATGCAGGAAAATCAAAACACTGCTAGAAAGACCCTTCATGACTTGAAATTGTTGAACCAGCTTTATTGTCTATCGGCGAAGGTCGTCTTAGAAGTGAAATTCCACCCAAAGATCTCAACACAATAATCTGCAAATTCATAATTTCTGTGCGGAAAGAGGATGGAGGTGAATTTGAAACTACCACACTGCGGAGGATTGGGTCGTCAATTGAGGGATACCTGCGCCGACACAATTGCAGCTTCACACTGCGAGATGACACTGAGTTCACTCAGTACAGAGACATAATGAAAGCAAAACAAAACAATTAAAATCAAAGGGTAAAGGTAACTTACCAAACAGGTGTGACACTCTATGGAATTGGAATGTTGTGGGAGTCCGAACAATCAGGAAAGACAAGACAAGACTCCGATCCCAAGGGCACTAGGGATGTGACTCCAAAAATGTTTGCCACTTTCGAAAATAAAGCTCGTTGTCCCATGAAACTGTACAAGCTCTACCGTGGTTTGAGACCTGGCGATTATTCCACCAGAACTGACAAACCCCAGTGCACGTCAATATTTGGTGCAAAAGCTGAACGATGCAAACGTCCCGCCGTCTCATATTATGCAGATACATGTATGAGGCCACAAAAACATATACAGCATGAATGGTTATTCCCATATTAACTCTGAACAACACGGGGAAATATCCTCAATTCTTTCAGGATGAAAATCTTGAGCACATTTACCGCGTTGTTCTGAGGTGAACAGGGAGGTCAACAATGCCATCTGTTCGCGCTATAGCGAGGTGTGCGGTGGCTGCCTTTGCGCCCTGCCGCCTGCTTTGAACTCAACACGTGCTTCATACGTTTCATGCGTTTCTTCAATAAAACGCGACCACATTTCATCAGTGTTTCGATCGAGCAACAACAGTTCAGGTGGCACTTTTACGATTAATGTTAATTTTGCTTTTAAAAACCCACGCCGAATTGCCGTAATAAACAGTGATTAAAACACTCCTCTCGCCTCTGCCACAAACTTGCAAATGACTTCTCGCGCATGATGATGTTATTTACTTACTGCTGTTAATTTTTTCTTACATTGAAATGTTTTTGGATGACAAAGGCGCATACAAATGCAATCATGCCGTATTTCTGCCGTATGAACTGTGTCTTTAGTGCCGATTATGGCAATTTCATTGTGCTCTATTTTGTATCAATGAAGTCACACACAAATTGTCTGTTGTTTGTTTTTATTCACATGACTATGCTAAATGTATTCTTACGCCAATGGGGCGGTCGGGTAGCCTAGTGGTTAAAGCGTTCGCTCGTCACGCCGAAGACCCAGGTTCGATTCCCGACATGGGTACAATGTGTGAAGCCCATATAAGGGTGTCCCCCGCCGTGATATCGCTGAAATATTGCTAAAAGTGACGTTAAACCATACTCACTAACTCACTCTTTTGTCCGGCAGTTTACTGATGCCACACCTTAATGATTTACCGTGACGACGTCGGGAAGTTTGACCACCCTCTCACATAAAGCTGACGCGCTTTAACATGACTGAATACCGTTACAGGCGTTAAACCCAACTCATTAACTTGAACGCATGGATCGGTGCTCTTACTATCGACCAGTGTCTTTTTAGTTCCTGATTACATGTTGTCAACCTTTTATGATAATAGTGGTCCTTACTGTTTCGCTCAGGGCGGTTGGGTGGCCAAGTTAGTAGAGCATTCGCCTAAAGACCTGGGTTCGATGCCCCAGTAGGTATAATGTCTAAGGGGGCGGTCGGGTAGCCCAGTGGTTAAAGCGTTCGCTCGTCACGCCGAAGACCCGGGTTCGATTCCCGACATGGGTACAATGTGTGAAGCTCATTTCTGGTGTCCCCCGCCGTGATATTGCTGGAATATTGCTAAAAGCGGCGTAAAACCATACTCACTCACTATAATGTCTAAAAGCCCATTTCTATTCCCTCCACTGCCGGAATAATGCTAAACGCGGCGTAAAAAAATACAACTTTACTAACACCCTGTCTCTCCCCACAGAAAACCCAGGAAGAATGGCGGAACGTGTTCTATGTGTGTGCGGGATTCTGTGTCCTGGGAACTTTGGTGTTCGGCACCCAGGCCCGGGGGGAGCTGCAGCCCTGGGCCGTGGACCAGGTGGAGGTGGACGTGGGGGAGGGGAATGAGGCGGGCGACGTGTCAGTCAGGGCTCTGGATACCAAGGACACTTTTGACAAGAAGGCAATTTCAGAAACGTCAAATCAACTGTAACAGTTTTCAGCCTAATAGAATACAACATACATCGGTTACAGTACACCTCCGTTATAACGTCACCATATGTAATGGACAGTACTCCGTATCAAGGACCCGTGAATACACAAAATATATCCAGCCCAATCGTACAGGCAATGGTGCCGTACGGAGCAACTTCCATCTAATAAATTCCAAATTTGAAAACTGTGAATGGAAAAAGCGGCCAAATATCTGAAGGAAAAGACACACACACACACACACACACGAAGCACTTTCGCTCCTTCACGTAGTTCATCGGCGTACGTACGACTGTTGCAGTGTGACGTCATCAATATCGTAAGACGTCATAGTCATTGCAGCGTGAGGCATGGGTTGCAAATAACACAGATAGTGGGCGCGTTGCAAGCCACGAATCGCTCAGAGAAAGCAAATTAATCGCCCATCCTGGGGTCTGCAACAGTTCGAAGCGCTTGCCCACTCTTCCAAAATGGCGGCGCAACTACCGCTTGGTTGCCTTGCCCTAATGAAGAACGTAATAGAAGAGGCTCGATGACGAGCTGATGGAATGTATGACTACTTTGAAGATGTAGAGCAGACTGAGGATGATGGGGTGTTAGCTGCCTTTGCTCATTTCCTCGTTGATCCAGTCAAGAATTTCTTGTTCCGCTGTCAAAGTGAGCCGCCACTTTGGTTTGAGAACGAAGCGACCTCAGCCAGCGATTGTTTCGCTTGCAAGCGGCTGAACGTTAGCGCACTGTTGTAAGGCGAATCGCTGTACATCGCTTGCAAGCGATTGGCGCTTTGCAACGCACCCAGTGTGTACATGGATCAATAACACGCTTCTAGTTTGATACGTCCATTTGATCCATCATACACTTAATTGTTTAGTATTGTTTGAATTGTATATATTTTGTTATAAACAGTGTCTCTTACAAATTCCACATGAATATATTTGATCTGCGTTTGTGTTTTTATTTTCATGTTTTAAGTGGTTTCTCTTTCTAACATGAAGGAAAGTAAAGCATACCAACATACCAATAAGACGTTAAAAGATGGTACTTGTTGTTACCCTGTCTGGCGCTCGGCATTCAGGGGCTAAAACAAGGACTGGAGTCCTCGGAGTCATTATACTGTGTCTGAGTGAGGTATTCATGTTAAACTGCGGCATGATATCTCAGTGGGCTAGCACTATAAATCGGCATCAGTCCGGACTAGTACAAGCAGACACACACACACACACACACACACACACACACACACACACACGTGCATGCACGTCGCTATGTAAGTGCAATAATCTTGGATGCGACGTAAAACCCCATTTCACCTCACCTCAACAATTCCATCTACATCGTTGATACTTCCATCTACGTAACTGATACTTCAATCTACGTAACTGATACTTCAATCTACGTGACTGAAATTTCATTCTACGTAACTGATACTTCAATCTACCTAACTGATACTTCAATCTACGTAACTGATACTTCAATCTACGAAGATGATAATACTCACATTTGAGTTTACGATATGATTTTGTGATCGTGAGTATCGTTATCGTTACAGTGATCTTGTTTTGTGAAGTTGGATATAGTTTAAACAAACATTTAAGTGTAAAGTAAGGGTGATTATTTAATCTATGTTAATGTATCTAAATGTTTAGGAGCATGTAGTATTTTTTCATTCTCCGTATCTTGTATTACAATAAACTGACAATAAGATCATTTTAAATTATCAAACTATCTGCACTAAAATAAAAACACCAACATATTCATTGAACAAAACTGCAGAATTGTACCTTCAGTGCTTCATATGATATCGATGATTTTTGTTTGTTTGTTGTTTAACGCCGCACTCAGCAATATTCTGGACCAGACAATCTAGTGATTGACATCATGAGCATCGATCGACGCAATTGGGATACGTTGACATTCATCAACCAAGTCAGCGAGTCTGACCACCCGATCCCTTTAGTTGCCTCTTACGACAAGCATAGTCGCCTCTTACGACAAGCATTGTCGCCTTTTACGGCAAGAATGGGTTGCTGAAGACCTATTCTATCCCGGATCTTCACGGGTCACATATATAACACGTCGCTTGTCAAGCTGAAGCGCGTTGTTTCCAATACAATGACATTTTCGATGGAGTTGTGCGAGTGGGGGATGCAAACGGTAGAACAGGACATGCTTACCCTTTTCGCGAACACCTGGTGTCATCACTGATTTCAGCGATCCATTCATTTAATTTTCAACACTATTTTGCCTGTTACGTTCTGTTGAATCTGCTTCGGTAGACAATCAAGAATGATTAAACTCAGGCGTTGACGTTTTGAAACAAGAAGCAACATGATTCGGCCCGTGAAGATCTTGGATAGAATAGGTCTTCAGCAACCCATGCTTGCCGTAAAAGGCGACTGCTTGTCGTGAGAGGCGACTAACGGGATCGGGTGGTCAGGCTTGCTGACTTAGTTGATGCATGTCATCGTACCCAAATTGTGTGGATCGATGCTCATGATCTCAAACACTGGTTTGTCTTGTCCAGACTCTATTATTTACATATAGCCGGGATATTGCTGAGTGCGGCGTTAAACAACAAACAAAAAAACAAACAGCAACATGATTCAACTGGATGTAAGCTGATATGTCAAGAAAATGACACTGCAACTTAACAAAACCTGCCCACGCATACTATCTGCAAATCGGTCTCAAGCATTAGACTTTTGAATATTTCCAACGAGTTACATTACGGAGCAAAATTAACATGAACGCTTTACTAGAATAAGAGAAACCAGTGGGTGGCCCAGTCGTCTAAGGCGCCGCGTTTCACTGTGCAGAGTTGCGTCCCCTGGGCACGCCAGAAACCTGTGATAGTGGGTTCGAATCTCGGTTCGCCCCGATTATGTTTCTAGGTTTGTCAGCACCATACCCGTGCTTATGGGTTTCACCGAAGTGGTAAACGTCTGAGACCTGCATCACTTCGGGCTTTCCTCCCACATTAAGCTGACGCGCCGTGATATAACTGGAATACTGTTAAAAGCGCCGTTAAACCCAAGTCACTCACTCATATATACAAAACATCAACTCCAGATGACGACCACACTCGACCATCCGCCGAAACCAGTTTGAGAGTTTGAAGGCGCTACATCTTCCTTGTTTTATTTGTAGTTTGACCCCGCGATATTCCAAAATACGCAATATTTCAGCTACGCCATGTCGCCCTGCTCTGTAAAAAATATTCGAGTGAGTAGACCAGACAAAGCACACATTCACCCTAAAAACAGTCTAACCACCAAATCTTACGACCAGCATAGGTTGCTGGAGTCCAATTCCAACCCGGAATCCGGGGGATGTGATTGAAGGAGAATTTGTTTGTCAAATTGTCACATGACAGCAACTTTCTGTCGTTACGTCACACAACGTAATTACCTCAGACAAACCGTGAAAATACGATTTACCGTTGTAAAATGGCGTTAATCGACGTACGTATATACAATTATTACTATTTGGGAAAACTTTGTTCCTGTGGCAAGGTAAGTCCAAAGTCGCATTGTTGGGCAACTGATAATGCATGGGGGTCGAGGGGGGGGGGGGGGGGGTTAGGGGATGGATGCAAGCGGACAGACGTATCTCCCTAGCACGGTACAACTTGAACATATTTAACGAGGCACAAAAACTTAAATTTTAAATTGAAAGCTTTAATATGTTCAAATATCGTCTGTGGTAATAAATAACACAATACAGTGTGTTCAATTTGATATAAGGGTTATGTCCCGAGTGAAATAATTTTCAGTGTGAACGAGAAACATAAACGTGTTGATAAAATTGAAAGAAGTTCAATAATATAATGTCCTACAAAAACGAACAAGGATCATGCCATTTTTATAACAATTCATTTATTTACACATTAGCACATTGTCAAGTAAAAATACCTCCATAGATTCCACCTCTATTATCACAAAATCACAGAGAAGGCATGTATCACAATACTGTTTGATCGTCACGTCCTAAATAAAGACATTGCAATAGCGTTTATTAACATGAAAAACGTTTCATTTATGAACATTTGTGTTTTTCTGAAAATACACTTAAGTGATAACTAGAAATGGTTGCTTATCGGAAGAAAAATAACCATCTCGCATTTCAAAGAATTCATCTTCGCTGTGTAATTCTCCATTGAAATGAGATGGATAAACTCCATCACTTAGGAATATGTGTTACTGAAATAAACACAGTCACATATTGTGCTTCAGTATATCAAGTCCGGGACGCAATGAAACACATAAATAAAAACAGCAGAGAGAAATAAGGTAAGACGATAATATTGATACACATGCAATTGAACGATGCAAAGAGTGAATGAGTGAGTATGGTTTTACGCCACTTTTAGCAATATTCCAGCAATATCACGGCGGGGGGACACCAGAAATGGTTGCCTGGTACGGACCTTTTTTCAAGCTCCACATATCAATGTAAGGACTTCTATTACTAACTATTGATTAAAAAAACCAAAAAAACCAAACTATCATATACGGTATAATATATAGTGAACAAATTCCAGCTGAATTGTCCGAAAACAGTTTTTGAAGGCAGCTGTAGATTGAGAATATGTCAAAAGTCAATGTGACTCATTAAAATCAGATCTTAGTTCTTGCTACCGCTAAACAAAGATCTGATCATTGCGGGTCATGTCAGAACGACCTTTCATCTGACCAATCAGAGCATCGCTTATCAGATCAAGAAAGTGACAGTTGGAATGTGATTTTTGATCGTGCAACCTCGAAATAAACACACACAGGGTATTCCGAACGACAGACACGGGCTTTATGTGTGTATTCATACAATCTAGACCATCTATTAGCCATTCCAGAATGTTCTTTTGTTCAGTTTATATTTTTTCAATCGAGTATATGTCAGAATATGTTTAGACGCGTAGTCGCCAGTTTGAAACTCGTGCCGTAAAGCTCGATTAAGCTGCCTTCTGATTGGCTATTGAGTCATTCCATTAGACGGTCAAAGTTCGCGAAAGGTCGGTCTGACAGGACCCGTAATGGGATGTCCTCAGATCTTTGTTTTGCGGTAGCGAGAACTAAGATCTGATTTTAATGAGATTGGCCTATATCAGGAGCATGTGTTTATGAACCTGGTGATGACACCAGGTATTCGCGAAAAGGTGAACGTATCCTATCCCATTGGTGGTACCCGTCCCAAACACAAGCACATGTTTAACCAGTGTCATCATTCCAAATTAAGTAAAGCATAAAAGATGGACGACATATCAAAC